GATCCCAGTGTGTGGTCTTTATCGTCACTCGAGAATGGCTCTTGAAAAAGGGACGACAGTCTTTTTGGCCGAATGCTCTGAAAGGGGTGTGGAAAAGTGGCTGCTCTTTTGCCCACGGGCATACGGAGTACATATAGGAGTTGAAGACGAAAGACACGCGGTGCTCTTGGCTGCCTTTGGCTAATAATACTTGCAAGTTGCAACCAACAGCTCCATCATCGGCCAGATACATATCCACCAACTGGACCTTGTCTCCGTACAGTGTGCGATCGAACCCCAGCGCACCGGACGGGGAACGGGATGTTCAATGTGGTGGCCCAGCATCCCGTCATGGCGGGCCTTTGTTTTGTTCTGGATAAGAGCAAGTCGGGTTCCACTTGACACGGGTTGAAAACGCCAGAGCCGAGCGGAAACCTGGGGCCGTGGATGGCCATGCTTGCCATGATCCGCCGTTAGGGTGTAGCATTTGTGTTTTGCCTTGTATGTGCATGGCGGAATAAAAGGGCGTGTACAGCAACGATGGTATTCCGGTATCATGACCGAGGGCCGGGGCATTACAATACAAGAGGCCAGTCACTTCTTTTACGAGTGTCGATACGGGCTGGAACTGGTGTTGCTTGGAAACCACCTCGACGCCAGAAGACGAGTCGACATGTACGTAGTAAGTGTGTGTGTTATGGAACGGGCTGTGCAGTGCAAACCGCCCGGTGTGCTTCGTTGCTCATTGGCGCTGGTTGCCCAGACTCAGTGCTGTCTTTGCAAGAAGCGATGAACACCATTGGGCACCAGACCGGGAGCCTCATCATCCTCATCATACCTTGCTTTGCAAAGAAAATGTTGACGCTCAGGCAACCGAAGAAGGGCTTGTCATCAGTGTCCACAAGCAAACAAACAAACAATCAAGAGTCTCAGCTGTGGAAAGCGCCCAGCCAGGGGGAAAGGGAGGGGCACGATAGACATTCCAAGGGGTTGGGTTGCGATGAATTTAAGGACAAACGAGACATCAGCCTCATAAATGATGGAGAGTAATAACTGCCGACCGTGTGCTCCGCATGTCGGGAAGAGCGTGGCCAGGCATCTTCAGAAGAGAAATGGATTGTACGGAGCACAGCGATGCTATGTACGGAGTAGTTCACGATTGTATCATGTCTGGTGCGCTTGCTCGTAATCGTGTACCAACACATGGCATGCCAAGCGTGCATATTGGATATCTCATGCACGGAACACTCCGTCGGCAGCAGCCACCAGGCCGCGTTGTCAGTGAAATGCAGTCCTCTCACTCACACTCACCCAGGTCTCTCGGCCTCTCTCAGATGCTGCATACTCCTTCAATGTTGCTCCACACACGGACATGGCAGGATCGCGCGGGATCTGCGTAGACGGCGGCACCTTGAAGGGAGAGCGCACAAGGTGTGCTCCGTACGCGGCACTGACTAATAATACTTGACACACTTCCAATGTTGGACCATGGAAAGGGACACATCCAGGCCATGACCTGTGCGGAGTATCATTCCGGCGGCTGAGCCTCGCTTGTCGTCCAAGAATCCTGGAGGCAGGAGAGAAAAATTTTCTTCTCTGCCAAACAGTCGCAGAAAAAAAAAAAAAAAACTTGGTCAACTGTGTCTAGCACAAGGCTGGGAAGGCTGGACGAAATAGCCTGGTTCCTGTCAATTTCGCTTAACGACCAGACCCTGCTAGGGTAGAGTCAGGGCAGGGCAGGGCAGAAAGACCAGGTTGATCAATGCCAGACGGGACAGCAGGGGGCATGAAAGAAATGAACACACACACGCACACACACACACTGGGCAAAATAATAAAAATAAAATAAAAAAGGTACATGCTCCGTACATGCATCAAGAAAATCATGATTGAATGCCTGGATAATTAACAATGGCAATGCTTCCTGTCGTGATGGAGCAGAAACGAGTCAAAAGAGCGCTTGGCATCATGCCTGTTGGATCCAGTTGAGAGTTGACAGGAATACATATGCCATGCCACATGCAGGCAACGTCCAACGTCCAAGGGCAGGTTCCGCGTTTGAGCACCCGGGGGGGGCCTCGGGTCGTCAGTCGTAGTGCAGCAGCCATCTGGCGGCAGCTTCTTCCACATCGTTGAATGCTCAATGCTTCCATCTAATATTCCAGGCTCATCACAATTAGCGCAGGGGGGCAAAAGTTAGTGCTCCCTAGTGCCCGGCGCCAAGTTTGGCTTTGAATTTGTGGCTGGCGTCTGGTCCCCACGTCCCGGGCCCCCGTTCGTTGCTCGTGTGCCATGAGTCCATGACTCTTCAAATTTGGGAACCGCCAGGCGCATTTCACGATTTCACAGGCAGACTGCTACTCCGTTCGTGAGCGTCATCGTGGATGGAACACAAAATGGTGCAGGGGCCGGGGGGACCAATCTCCTTGGGGCAAAACATGATATCGTGCTGTCTGTGCTCGGGCGCCGTGCAACCAGCGTTGAACGGTTCGCAAAAGGACCGGACCAGTTGGCTTCGGATGATTGTGTCTGCACAGGGTACGAGATTGCCATGCGACTGACTGGGCGTGGTCCATGTCGTAACTGCCATGGTATGCACGGGAGTGGTATGTATAATTGTTGCTGCGCACTGCCCGTGTACATACTTTTTTCCCAAGAATGCCATGTTATTAGTACTCGGTATTTTTATTATTATTATTTTTTTCTTGTTTTTTTTTGCCGAGTATCATTGTACCAGACTGTATCATGTACTCCGTACACACAGAACAGAGTCCCCAAACCCCTCCCCTCAGCCTGTTCCCAACCCAAGACACTTCTCACCCAGTGCCCTTTTTGCTCAAACCACGGAACCTCTGCCAGAGGCAAAGAGCTGAGTCAGTTGAGCCGACTGCCACTCAGCTCGTCCAGCTCGTGTTTCTCGTCAACGTCGAACCGGCGCTCTCCCTCGATTGGCTCTGTGGTGCCGGCCGAGCATATTTCACCCGACGTCTCAGTCAGCTCAAAGGTACAGTCAGCGGTCGTTTCCTCTGCAGCCAGTCAGAGAGACAGTGGGAGACACCGACGAGTCATCAAAGAGCACACATTGGACAAAGAAAGCGCACGCCTATTTATCGCGGGAACCAACGAGACACGCGGGAAGAGGATATACTACAAGCTTCAGCGTCAGCATGGACCGCGCACATGGGCATCGCCGGCCGGGCCGTGCCAGGCACTGTGCGTGTGGCTTACGCCTGGAGCGGACTGAGGAGGCTTGCCTGATGTCCGACAGGGCGCTGCTATTTCTACAACAAATACGGAGTACGGGGGGAGCGGGTGCAGAGTAAAGAAAGACACACACCAGACATTTTCAATCATGACGCCCGGGAAGCCTGGTTTGGACTGCGCAAACTTGGAGGCCCTAGGTGGGCTGTTCCCGGCCAACAGCAACTTGACAATGAGCCTCTGGTGACTCTGCCGTCATGGCGAGTCTGGTAATTATTAATCGCCCCAGGAGGGTTTCGTTGCACAGTGACTTCACGACCAAGGACATGGGATTGGATTCATTGGACAAGGTAGCCGTCGACGTCGACGTCGGGCACCGTAGAAAGTGCTCGAGGCCGGTAGCACCATCCGCACGAAAACTGGGAGGCAGAGCCATCTCGATGCGCTGCCCGGTGAAGATGACGAGGTTGAATACATACGTCGTAGGAGCAGCATCATGGGTGAATAAGGTCATATCGGACTCTGCGCTTCCAGATGTGCTCTAGCTCTGCCTCTGCCTCGCAGCCAGGCACGTCTTTGGGGCCACACACACACCCCCTTCGAGTCCCCCCTTCCTCCCTTCCCGCCCGGCTCCATCCAGTGGTGATGCACGACTGCTGTTGGAAAATTCCCTGTACTTCCGTCACCTTCTCTGCGGGCTATAGATATACGTACGTATGTACAATGCATGTATGTATATTGGCAGCAGTAGTAGCATGTCCGATCAATAGTATTCCTCGCCGCGCCTGCGCCGTAGTAATCCGCACGACACATGCAGACAGCAGCGGCACGCGGCACACCCACACCAGACGCCGGAGCACGCAAGACACCCCCCCCTGGACAGCCATGGCGTGGGCTCCAGGCCCCCAGCGCCTCGAGCTGCCAGGGTTGCGATGATGAGGGGGCCTGCATTGCATGCCAAATGCCTGTTGACCTGTGAAGGCCCCCTGGTCTTCGCAACATGCTGAAAGCGGACCCGACATTGATGGCCGCAATCCCAGCAACACGGCCAGATTTGGCCGGCCTGGCGGGCTGTGGCCTGTGGGCTGTGCGCTACATGTATCCTGATGCCCTGATGCCCGTGTCTGGTCCGCTCCCGTCTGTCGCCACCACAAATCTTATATAAGAATGCCTTCCATCTCCACACACACACCGGCCGCCTCCCTCTCCTCCGATCCTTTACAACATTTTGGCATCTGCCAACCACTGTAGCAATCACAACATTGACCAAGGCGCGTTGGGACAGACCCGACGTCGTTTTCTCACGTTCTTTCTCAACCGCTGATACCTGGGTCGTTGGCTGCATGCTCAACGCCCTCGAGAAATCGCCACTGCCAGGTTGCCCACGACTTGGCTACAAAACATCCAAACCTCCCAATTTTTTCCTATTCCTCTCTTGTAACGGAGGGATATTCAAATTTTGCTCCTTCACACCGGTCATGTTTGCAGCAGCAGGACAATTTCCAAACCCCTACTCCTCCAACCACCTACCGAGGTGACGTGCCAAACAACCACAACCGACACAAAAACGTCTACCCCCTTTACGCGCCACAACACCAGAGGCGCGACGTCCGAATCTGGACACGACAGCAGTTTTGCAGAAACAACAACCACTTTTGAATCATTGCCCTCGACGAGACGAGGGGGGAGGCCTCGGCGACTCCACCATTCTCCTCGTGTAGTACTATATTTGGCCACGCTGGGCCACGGCAGCGTCGAGGGAACGACGAGACACGACTGCATGTCGCGCTGGGCATAGCAGATTGAATTCGCTTCATACAATGAACTACCCTTCACCACGAACACCAGGATCAACACCGATCCACGAGTGGGACTATTCCCGGATGTCTTCGGCAACGCCCACTCCGTCTCCTCGGCCGAACTGGTTCGACTCGTCGACGCCACGTCGGCCGGCCACTCGAGCCGCTCACTCGCGAGCCTCGAGTTACTCGCAGCATGGTGGTCTCACTCCCCGAACACACATGGAGTCCCCCAGATACAATAGCTATGGGGATTATTGTACGGTAGATGTGAGTGCCAAAGATTTTTCGTCGTCGCGCCGCCACACGGCACACTATCCAGCTCCTCCCAGGCGCGATCGCCGTCACTCGTATACCTATGTCCGGGCTTCCACTCCCTATGGAGAATCCGACGAGGACGAGATCATCGAGGTTTTGGGCGGAGGCACTTACGTGCTCCTCGCCGAGCCACGGGCCAGGAGCCGCCGCGCGCCGCACTTGTCGAAGCACGATGGGGGATGGTACACTAATCAGGGGGTCCGTCCGCAGAGCTCTTCGTACAATTATGCCGATCCTGCCTATGCGCGGGCTTCACCATACGACTCCCCGCAACCCCAACCACCACAGGCGCGCCCGCCCACCAGCCATGGCCACTCTCGCCGCTCGTCGGCCTCGGTCCCGCAGCGGCCGTCCACTGTTCGCCCGGCGGCAAGCAGCCAGCGTTCAAAGCCGCCGCCGTCAACGCCAAAGGCGACCGAGGGCGACGCCCGCCGGCACAAAATTCCGCAGGGCTACTCACTCAAGAACTGGGACCCCGAAGAGGAACCCATCCTGTTGCTGGGAAGTGTCTTTGACGCTAACAGTCTAGGCAAATGGATCTATGACTGGACCGTCTACCACGAGGGCCCGGACAAGCCCATCGCCGACATGGCCGGTGACTTGTGGCTGCTCCTCATCAAGCTATACGGCAAGATCAAGCGCGCGGAAGAGATTGTAGGCCAGATCCGCAGCGCCGAGAACAGAGAGATTATGAATGACTTCATCGATGCAGGTGAGCGTCTTACGGATAAATTGCGAGCCCTCCTCAAGGCCTGCGAGTCGCCCATGCTCAAGGCTGCCAAGAAGAAGGGCTCAGGGCTTGGGAAGAACTCGGGTGTCGAGTTTGTTCTCACCCTCTTTGGCCGAGACAGAGAGTTGGCCAAGACTGAAAAGTTGATGCAGGGCATTAGACTATTCGATCTCCGATTCGATGCCAATTGCCAGGATATCATCGACAACCCTACCCTCTAGACGGGCTCTCCCACCCATATCCCCTTGGAATCTTGCTTTAGACTCCTCCTTGGGACGCCACGCCAATATGGAATGGAAATCGGGCCCCGGCACTTTCTTTGTGATGGTTGCCTTTCCGCCATTTAATTTTTTTTTCCTTTTTCGACTATCCTTGTCTGACATGCCTTGGATCCGGAACTCTGGAGGGGACCACATTTCTCGGACCGGACATGCCAGGACAACTGGAGACTTGTACAATGTATATCGTGCCTTTTCTCAGCCTTGTGGACTTACAGGATGCGGCCCACGCCCACATGGACGGAACTCGTTTTTTTTACCCTTGATTTCCTTTGTCGATTTCCTTTCTTGTTTAGCCTGGACACCACGACCTCGACCCTGGATTATGTGTTTTTAAAAAAGTTACTAAGACCACTAATGGGCGACCTGTACTATCAGCAATGCAAACGCAGAAGGGACTTGGAGCACGGGACTTTTTTTTTTCACTATCTAGAGATACCCAACGTTTTCATTTCAAGCGTCGCAGAATCGGGCGAGGAAGCTGCGCACAGATGAGCAGAGGGTCAAGGTGTGTCATACCTTGGAAAGATGTTAGTTAACGGATAGCTATGTAGTGCGGGAAAATGGATTTTTAGACTAGACAAAAGCTTGTTTTCGGATGCTCCTCGTTTTGCCGTGATGTGATGCTCCAGACGTGAATGAATACCAATGTGGGCCTTGTAGCGCCTCACAAACCACGCAGTCACTGCCAGTCAGTGATGGAGCGTGACCAAAGATGCATCTTCATCTCCCCAGCCGCGTCCAATACGGACCACAGTGTACGGAGTAAACTAATGGGTCATTTGCACCGAAATGCGACCACTGCTAGACCGTCCGCCGGGCCGCCCCTTGCAGGCCCGCCCGGTGCAACCCTCCGGCCAGGCCGCCAATTGATTCCCTGAGTGCGCCTGGGTCCCCATCAACGATTGCATCAAATCGAGTCGAGTCGAGGTCCTCGAGCGGGGTCGGCGATGGTACACCGGCATCTATCTGGTGGCACAAGAGGCGACCGAGCGTGCATGTCGAAATGAGGGGATCTTCAGCCTGGACCATCTGCGGGTGTTTGACGAGGCGGGGAGGGGAGGCAGAAACAGACAAAAAGGAAACGTGGAAGCCTCAGCATATCTGGTCCATGCTGTCAGAGTTGTAGCGGCAACCCCTGGGCTGGAAGTGCCTGTGAAATTGCCACTGACAGATTCACAGGCCATTGATCGATTTTCAGCGCGGAAACATGAACGAGGCGCTTCCCAGCGTGTATGTGTTACAGAGCACGAACGAACAGGCTTGGTTTGATCACTGCTTGTGGCACGATGGGCGGCATCGAATGGCTTCGCGGACGGCGATGGCCCGCCGGGAGGTCACCTTGGAGAGAGATCACGCTGCCGGGCGTAGATGCAAGTTTCCTGCACGGCTGCGAGCTCGGTCTTTTGCAGCGTGATGGCCTCCCCTCGAGGGAGCTTGAGGCTGGTTGTCGTCTGGAAATGATTGTGCTACGGAGGAGATGGCAAGGGTGTGCGCGCCCGGCTGTTGGCGTGCGGCGCGAGTCAAACGCGTTTATGTACTGTTTCTTGAGTCGTGATACCCTCCTCCCCTTCTTTTTTTGGGGGGGTGTTTAATTTTTTGTTTTCTCACGGTTGGGCGGCGAGATGTTGAAAAAGAAAGAAGCTGTGAAATATCGAGTCTGACTGTGCTGTTGTGAACCAACCTGCAGAGGTGACGCCTTTGCCTGCCGTCCTGACAGGCATTGTCCTTGGAGAGAGATGCACAAAGGGGCTCGACGAACCGCGGCCCGCCTGAGAATGGTAGCTTGCCATTCGTCACACAGGCGCGTGGCTGCAGGCATGTCTCGGGTGGCTTGGCTGGAGGCTCTCTGTCGCTCAGCTGGGCCAAGATGCGGAGATGGCTCTTCAGTGACTTTGTTGGTGCGCCGGTACGGAGTACAACGCACGGAGTAGACGGTTAGTGATTAGTTTCTTGGCCTACGGAGTACGTATTCATGTCTCGCAACTACAATGGTCTGCTGCGGTTTTGGACCGCCGCAAGTGCGTTGCGGGAACGTGGTTGGACGTTGGGATTTGGAAAGGCGATGCGTGACTCGAGGCTGAGAAAGTCGTGGGCTGGTGGTTGACGAGTCTGGAGTTGGTGGTGTTGTACAGTCGCAGGCGGCTAATAATCGACTCAGAGTACGGAGTACGGAGTTGATGTGATGACTTGAGCCATTTCACACATGGTAATGGCTGTGGTCGTTGCTCGATTGGTGGGATCCTTCATGTCACCCTCGAGTGACGCTTCAACCATCTTGCCCAGCCCCCAGCCTCTTCTTCCCCCCTCTCTCTTGTCTGGCTCTGGCTTCTGTCTTTGACAATAGCCGACGAACCACGGTTGCTTTGCACTAGTCGCAGCAAGCAGCCACCAGCTTTTGTAGCAAACGGTCTTGGTCATGCACACTCCCCTGGTCTTTGCCCCCTCATTCCTTTGATGGTTGGTGGTCTCGTCGCCACGCCCCAAGACGCCTTTCCATCATCCAGACCCTGGATCGAGTTTTGCATTGGTTAGCGTCTTCCCGGCTAACTTGCAACAGTTATTGCCCAGCAAATGCAAAGGCTAGAAACACTCGGGCTCCCTGCAAGTTTCCCCCCCATCGTCGGCCAACGCCTAGTGAGGACTCTGGGAGCGGGGGATGAGCACCTCCAAAGAACCATGTGCCGCGATTCCAGCTAACTGGTAAAACAGCTCCCATGTACTCCGTACTCCGTGCCGCATAGTCGATATTCGAAACAATGAACACCGTCATTGCGTATGGCATCTCCACGATCCGTCTTCCGGATCCAAGTTCCCACCCCTGGTCCCTGTCGAAAAAAAGGCTGTGAAATCATGGCCCGAAACTTCTGAGGGTCGTGTCTGCTGACCCTAGGTGTGACTTTTTTTCTCGTTTCCCGTCAGACAACCTTCACGCTTTCGGGTATGATAACCGTCTGGTGGATGGGAGCGGGTTCTTTCTGCCAACCACCACAAGCGCAATCTTTGTCTCTTGCCCAAAGTGCCAACCCTTCTTTTGTCTTTCGCGTGGGCAGCTGCGGAGAAGATTGGTCTAGAAGCTGCTGCAGGCCGCCGGCCCCCAAGGCGAACCAAAGAGGAGTTTGCAAAGGGCGCTTGATGCGCAACTGCTTGCATGACATGCATCCAAATTAACGTCAACCTGCGTCCGTGATGGAGCGGGAGACGGCGGGTGTGGTTCCCATCGAACCAACCAACATGGGGTGAATGCACCTCTTTCCCCCCTTCCACAGACGAAAGGGGTTCGCTGTACTCCGTACGGAGTAGAGCTCAAGTGTTGTACATGACGGGGTTGCAGCGAGTCTTTCATAAGATTCTTCAGCTCTGCAAACTGCAATCAGCATGTGCTGAGGCGAGCATGCCGGGCGTAAGCACAGGAGATTGCCTCGTGTGTGCTCGTGCGATGGCAGGGAACGGTTGACAGCAGATGTGCCCGCCAGTCATCTTGCACCCTCGCATCTTCCATCCTTTTCCGCCCCTTGTCCCGGATTTTCCTGCGGCTGCTTTTGCGGCCCGTGGGTTGACCTCACGGATCGCAACGTGGCCCTTGTTGAGGTCGAAGAGCCATGTGTTCGGGTGGTCCACGACTCGGTACATGGGAGGACTTTGTGCTCTGCGCAATAGGCGGGCGGCCGTGTAACTTTGTCCGCATGGCTAAACCGGTGCTACAACCGGGCGAGAGGGCATGGCCTCATCATGCGGGTTTACAGGCGGTGATACGTGAAAAGGCAGGCGTTTGAGGCGACTGTGCCCGTGTTGCACGGGTGAAAATTAAATCGTCGTCGTTGAGGACACACTGCCGAGTCAATTTTGTTCAATAAGCCCTTTGTGCTTCCCAAAAGCTGCAGTGATAGGATCGCTCTTTGTTGAGAAGGCCCGGGGCACGTGTGTATATGTCGCCCGGCTACGAGGACTACATTTCTAGATGACAGCATACTAGAAGGGGCAGGAAAGAAATGCGTCCATGCCGCCTGGTATGCATTCCTACCCACGGTACATCTCGGGCCTGTCCCATCACCCTGCTGATGCAAGCATGACCACCTCGTGGTGCTGGCAGGATCTCGTAAGCTTTGTTGTGCCGCAACCGGCGACGACGTCCAGAGGTGGCACAATACGGCCGGCCCCTTTGGCAAATCTCGCCATGCTACCCCGGCCGACGACCGAGTTGTTGGGCCCGGCCTAGATGGAGTAACTTGGAGACCAGGGCCAACCTGCCTAGGGCATGTCTCCCTTGGTGGTCTGAAGCTTCGGAGGTTCCGGGGCATGTCTGCTTCCGGGTGTGGAGATGACGTCTGGCTTCCGGGTCGGCGGTGGTGGCGGGAGAGTGGAGGAGTGTTTAGTTTACTGCGGTGTTGATGGTGGACGACGGGGTCGAGGCTATTTGTACTGTGTTGACATCAGCCTGGCTAGATTCGAGGTGTTGATTTCAGCAACAAAGCGCACGCGACTTGATTGTCCTAAACTGCCAAGAGTCTGTTAAGGGTTGTAGATGGATGTGCTTTGCATTGTCAGAAGCAAAGGATGAAAAGCCAAGTTTGAGGCGTGCCTTTGCAGCCATCACGCCTGCAAGTGACTTTCGCTCCAAGACGCCTGCCTACATGATTGTCTCGTATTGTGAGAACAGCAAGTACAGACGCTCCGGGCTGTCTGACCTCTGTCGATGAGGGACACACTTCTACAATTGACCTCGGTCAGGTGCTTCCTCTGTTCCTCCGATGAACGATGGATCTTACAGATGACCATCTTGAGCATTATGAGATTTGGACCCTGTGCCTAGATTCTGACAACAACTATATTCATTCACCTCCATACTATACGCAACAACACGGTAGTCGATTGTATTTGCTTACTTCCACACACTGGAACTCTCTGCACCAGACTCCTTTCCTTTCTGATACGTCTCACTCAACGAAATGTACAAGTCCTTGACTCTCTGAATCTCCTGCCGCCACATCTCCCTCTCCGCCTCGGACTGTAAATCGTCCAGCAAATCCTCCACAGATCGTCCCCTGAAAAACTTGTTCGCCCTATTGTACAGCGCCCTCTTGTGAACCTGCTCGTCGGTCTCCTCGCCCTGCACCCTAAAGACCGACTCCAAAATGTCAATGTCGTAGGGGATGGAGAACAGATCCCTACTGTCCGCGTAGGTGAAGAGGTAGTAAAACTCGTTGAAGCCGGACCACGCAATGCCGCTCAGGCAGAGACTGCACGGCTCATGGGTGGCAAAGAAGATGCAATCCTTCTGTGGATCAGGCCGCGCCGTGGGATCCTGGTAGTCGACGGTGAAGAACTGCTGGATGCAGTTAATCTCGCCGTGTAGCAGGGGAGACACCCGTTCGTTGTTGGTGGCCACGGTCAACGGGCGGAGGGTAGAGCGGGACAGGATGGCCGCGCCGAATACCTTTGAGCCGGAGGCCACTCCCTGCTGGGTGAGAGGGACAATGCGGTCTTCGACTGTCTTGAGAAGCGTTGAGATGAGCTCAGACGTGGTGGCGGTGGCGGCGGGAGACATTTTTGTGTTGTGGGCTTCAAGTATGTTTCGTCGGCAGTGAATAGTGCTTGTCCATTCTCTTTTGTCTGCCGTAGATGGAGGCGCGATACCTGTTGTATTTGAGTATTGACCCGCGGGAAGTGGTGGTTAGGTGGTCGTTCTGGACTCTGGGGTAGGCGATTGCGGCCTTTCATGGCGGCGATCACCGCAGGACCAGCAGCATGCGGCGACCTCCGCCTTGATTCACCAGTCGGTGGTGTGACAAAGAAGCGCGCATCGTGCGGGTTGATTTCATAGCCCTCAGTGCAGGTTCAAAGAATCAAAAAAGCTTCTTGTCCTTTGGCGTTGACGGCGTGCAATGGCCCCGGGGCGACGGTTCATAGTTCCTGCCTTGCCACTTTCATGCGCATGGATAGCATGTCAAAAAACATGACTAAGCCCAAAGCGGCCATAGAGAATCAATCGTCATGGCCCCCTCTGGCACAAGGTTCCGATTGAGCCTTCGAATTCAAAGCCATCCTCAAACCTTAATCACTGACACTCTATCCATCGATCCATCGTGTCCCGTGTGTTCAGTGCTCAGCTTGGCTGTATATAATCTCTTCAACTTCCCCCCCCTTCCTAATCATGTGCTCTTCTTAACTTATTCTTCCGCCCGTACTGTACCTATTGCAACCAGACTGGCTGAGAGAACCCGCACACGCAAACTACGAAATTCCGCACCGTCGTGACTCGTCCGTCACCGGCTTCGCAACACCATGCATTACATTCGACTGCTGCGTGCTCCAAGAATGCAGGTCGACGAGGGGGGCATGCAAGCAGAGCTAGTATTCACAATCACGACTGACCTGGGGGAGTCATTTCTGTGCCCGGAAAAGGCTATTGACCTGGTGGTTACGGCACATGTCACCTCAGTGTCGGAGAACTCATCATGCCTTCTTACCAGGAGGGGGGCCCTGCAGTGGAAGGCTGGTAGACGGGTGTGTAAACCTGTTTTTGAGTTTCCTCCCATGATTCAGCAGGCTTTCATAAATGGAGACTCTGTTGAGCTGTGTATCAGCCCCGACTCGGACCTGTCGGGCGATGAGGTTGAGAGCATTCTCAATTCGTCCATTAAACGCGCCAAAAAGCACGCGAATGGCCTCATTGTGCCTGTTTGGGTCGGCATGAGCGGCCCCGAGGTGGATTTCGACGTGTCCACTCGCCGTATTCGCCTGACGGCTCCGACCGAGCCAGCACAGTTTCTCGAGATCGAGGAGGAGATTGGTGAAAGCATCGCCCGCCACATTTGGGATGCGGGCGTCGTCTCGCTCTGTGCCGTTGTCGGCGCCTACAAGTTCCCCAAGCTCGAAACTAGCCAACATCCCTGCATGAAGAAGCTTCTCAGCATCCTCAACAACAAGGACGGCGTCAGCGTTCTTGAGCTGGGCTGCGGTGTGGGAATTCTTGGCATTGGTCTCTGCGCCGTCTATCCCAGAGACACGGGGGAATGCACAATCTTGATGACGGACGTGGGGGAAGCAGAAGGCAGAGTGCGCAATAACATTGGGCTCCTGCAGCAGCTTCGCTCTGGTTCGGATCTCGGCTATGCACAAGTCATGTATCAGAACCTCGACTGGAACGAGGCCAAGGACGGAAGCTTTCGAGGACAGATTCAGTACCGGCGCTGGGATCTCATCATGCTGAGCGACTGTACGTACAACGTCGACATGCTCCCTGCCCTCGTCGGCACCTTGTCAGCCATTCACCACGCGAACCTGCAATTCACTGCCGATGATGAGACGTTTTCAACAAAAGTATTCGTTGCGACAAAGCCACGCCACCCGTCGGAGCGGTCTTTTTTCGACCTTATGGCTGCAGACGGTTGGACCAGGGAAGAGAAACAAGTCCTGTCGCTTCCTGTCCTGAGTGGGGAATGCGAATCGGTAGAAATGTACCTTTTCGAAAAGGCAAAGGCATAAACGGCTGGCGCAGTGTGTCACTCGTTGAAGCTCGTATGACAAAGAGTCTGTACACGTATCGCCAAGGACGACAATCTTTATCGATGCTTTGATCCGTATTTGCGGCCAAGGTGGCTGGCTCTCCGTGGTCCATACATCCGAAGTAATACAACTAGGTCAGTCTCGGTGCTTTGTGACACCTGCAAAAGCAAGGAACACCAATGCCAGGAATCGATGTAACGTAAGAAATGCAGACGACGTCTGTCACAGGACTCACAGCTACTATGAATGGGAACGGCACCAAATGAGCTCGGGAGTGCTAGCTCAGCCGCTGTCCAACACTGGCTGTGTTTCACACAAGGTTAGATTATTGCCATTAGTATTCGGAGCACTTGAAGAATCCTCAAAGACCCTGACGGAATGGGATTATGCTCTACCTAAAACAATCTGGTTACACAGTGTTTGGGATAGTTTATTGGCTGGGGTGAAGCAAGGCGCATGGGCGCATTCGAATCGTTTTTATAGACTTGTAGCATGAATGAAATACCTTGTACGTCACCGTACAACTTGTCCACTTTGTTCACCTTATCCGAAGCTGTGTCACATTACTATTCGTCCGCATTGGCTGCGGCAAGACGTTGAGGGAGGAAGAAGTAGCGTACGGTGGCTAGAGACCAGTAAGCTGGTGGTTTCGGATGGAATCACGGTTTGGTGTTATTTACGACGTGCGGACTGTCTTGCCCTCCAATTTGCAACTTGACGGGGAAGCCTGACAAAATAAAAATGGTGTCTGTTTTGAAATGGAGAATAAAGCAGTCTTACGTCGTGGCCAATCGCACGACCGTTACCACGTCTTCCTCATCGTTATCCATCAATTCCTGCAATTTCTTGGGAAGCCGCTTTCGGACGGGCAGTTTGTCGGGATTGAATGGCGGCGGGCGTAATTCGGAAACGCTCGGCTGGTTCCTCTTGGAATATTTTGATATACACCACGGCGACTTCATGGACTTGATGACGGGAGCGTGATATGGGCAGGGTGGACGTCTGATTGCCGTTTGACGAGGAGAATTTCATCCATTCCACCGTCTGAAGGGACTGTGAAATATAGTGTTTGCAAAGTGTATGCCACTCCCGCCACGGCAGAGCCCGAGGGTAGACCGATATTTGTCCGTTTGGCGTGCCTGTACTTATTACGGAAACTTGGGCTTTTGGAAAGCGACTTGCATTTCTGGCGTAGACGGCGCGGCTGGAATTACCGAGTCCCAGAATCATGAGCCCAGCGTCAAGTGTAGTCCAGGAACGGGCGTCGACTCGATCCATGACCCGAGCCCGGCGTCAGAATAGCCAGACACAAAGGCATCCGAGCGAGGCTGAGGGTCGTCACTGCGCACCAGGTTCTCAGAGACGCCGGACGAGTCGGGAGAAGGTCTCTGGGGAAGACTCGGAGCCGTGTCCTACGATAATCACCGTCGGACACGGCACTCGCACCGTCGCCGCCCTCGTCCACGTCCTCCAGTCCGCTGGCGTGGCCAAACTCGTGGATGTCCGGTCCTTTCCTAGATCCCGTGCAAACCCCCAGTTCAACCGTGACAGTCTCGCGTCGAGCAGCACACGACCATCCGGGTTGCGTCGTTAAGACACTTTGCGGGATACATGAGCACGTTGGCGTTTCTCCAAGGCGTGAGAGAATTGAGAAGCCTGGCAGAGGAGTCGGGGGACCGTGGGAGCGGAGGGGTCGCCATCATGTGTAGTGAGACTCTGGTGGCGGTGTCACAGGCGCATGATTGCCGATGTCTTGCTGGTGAAAGGGTGCAACGTTGAGCACTTGGGCATTCGTGGCGGAGGGTCTGTGAATCACCGGCTATGGGATATTGCTGGGGTAGCTGACGATGGGCATTTGGTCTATGATGGTTGTCGCGGAAGGACGGCTGCTGAGTGTACTCCGGTGCTTGAAGGAACGGCAAAAGCGTCTATGGAAGCGTGTACTTTACGAAATTGCGAGGTGCTTTTCAACGGATAAGTTGGCTACAGCTGAAATATGGCTTCAATACTAGATGAATCCTTGGGAAGAAAGTTCAAATACACCGAGAGCGATATCTGGCTGGAAGTTCTATAAAGGAGGCCCAAGTTCCAACTGCGTGGCTACATGGGTTCAATCAGGGACACACACTCAATTACTCCCTAGCTGCAAGACGACACTTGTATTAACACAACCACATCAATCCAATAGCGAAAAATGGAGTCACGACCCGTCACTGATAAGTTATGACCAGCTGCAAGTCAAATCGACGGTGGACTCACTCAACACGCACAGCCTCCATTGCAATGCTCATCTTCCATTCCAGCACCAACAATCTAACAATCTTGGACCTGCAGCTCCAGCAACTTGCGTCTAGCTAGCCTCAGTATCGACCCCTTGCTCCAGCTCTGTTCCGTCCCGGCCGTGAGTCCCACAGACGACAAGTCCTGATCATCCGCACAGTCGACAAGCACATCGAGCAGCATTCCAAAGTCGTGGCTCAGCCTACTGCGGTAGTTCTTCTCCACCTCGTTGTGGCAAACGCGGAAATGTGCCTTGCCATGGCGATTGATGGCTGCCGGCGTCCCACGCGGGCATGCTTCGCCGCCGTCCGACTTGGAGCGCCGACTCGCCCGCCCCCTTTTGGACGGGGTCCTGCCGCTGGGCCTGTTTCCCGCACCGCCTGCCGGGGACGATGCGCCAGATGCGGAGGGCGAAGGCGGCCACGGTCTTTCGGGGGTGAGGCCGAAACTGCTGGGCGTCTGGCTCGCGCTGGGGCGGCGCGGTGTTTCGAGCGGCGGCGCGGGACGGGAAGCTTCTGGCATTTGCATGAGCTGGGGGTCGCTCGGTGCTGAGTCGGCCGGCGAGTAATGTGGCAGATTCATGAGCGAGCTGGCGTGTCCTTTGCGTACTTCCGGCTCGGCCGGCCATGACAAGAAAGCATCGAGGTTGTATGGGTCCCAAGGCGCTGAATCTACATTACACGGGGGGTAATATGATGTGTAGTCGTTGGGTAAGATGGTATTGGAGACGGGCGTCTGGTCTGGGTTTATGTGGTGCGGGCTGTAGGAGCTAGGATGCCATTCCTGTTGCTGGCCGTTAGCAAGGTCCCTTTTCTACGAGTGAAGCGAGGCTCATAAAGAGGAATGCTCGTCATCGTACCGGCCACTGAGCCCACGCATCGTTCCACGTTGGAACCGTGGTTGAATCCGCGGCCATCTGGTAAAGATCCATCCATGGCAACCAGGAGTTTCAGTCAAATGCCCCAGTGCGGATAATGCCTGCTTGAATTGGGGTACTTTCCGACAAGGTAGGTCATGTATTCATGAAAAGACGGAGACGCCAACTAGCAGTAATTGTCGCTTCGTTCAGAAAAGACTTGTAATAGTCCTGCCGGGGATGTGAATGGGCTTTTAATAGTATAAGATAGTCCCCGACTTATATTCACGTCAACCGCCGAGACACCCGCCAGCCGTGGGTTCCCGATGCGTGCCATGCAAGTCCCCTGAGAATAACTTGACGTTTGGTGGCCGAGTGATGGCTATCCTGCTGTAATCCGACGATATATCACCAAGTCAAGTCCGGGCCGCCAGGCAATTCGACAGCTCCGACCAGGCCCCGAACTCCGAGAGATTGCCGGCCCAGCACCCAGTAGCACTATCTGGCGTCATCAAGGCGCAGAGCGGGCTTATCAAGTAGCAGTGCCAATTGGTGTGCGGCAATGTCGCGGGTGAGATGGTGTAGGAACACCGGAAGCCCGAGTTCCGACCCAAGTTCATTATTGACCATGTTTGCCAAAGTCTGCTGTCAACTTTGATAGTACGTAGTAGTAAGGTCAATAGTTGTTATAGAGGGCTGGGTTGATAAGTATGTGGCTGGGCGGGAGCTCGGTAGGTTCGGATTATTTGGACCTGGCTTGGGCTAGTACAACGGGAGTTGTCTGGACTGCCCATGAGCATAGAGTTTCGACCCATAGGGAATAATAACTAGGTCTGACCAAAGTTTGGCGTGTTTCCTCGATTAACACAGAGCTCCCGTGTGAAAGCACATAGTTCCGGGCCCGGGTGTTGGCTTCCAAGTATAGCTCGGGCTGCTTCTTGATGGCATGCCATGATTCAATTCCTTAGAACACACGACCCTTGAAATAACTTCAACACCCAGTCCAGAATGAATAACTCGGCCAAGTTTCGGACGCCTGGGGAGGAACAACTCGGAGCCGCGTGTAGATGCAAGTATTGATACAAAGATAAAGGCCTTGACTCACAGACGACAATACAGTACATTTATTACTCAAGAATAGAAGTCCTTTTGTAATCGTGACACTACATGTCTGAAAAAATAACATGTGCGCGGCCAGATATAAACTTCTAGGCCTCGAAGCTGCTTAGAAGGTAGGGTTCCCTTACAAGCTCATCTTCACCGCAATTGCGACGCAACAAGAAATCTGCAACAGAGTGTCTGGATGGGGCCATTGGTGACTGGGTGACTTTGTAGACTCGGAGACGAAATGTGAGATTGAAGCATCGGCTGGAGGCTCGGACCGATACAACCAGAGACCATACCATCCCGTCTGCACAAGATTCCTTGCCCATAGGTATTGCTCTGTACATGGAGCATAAACCGGGGCCATGCTGGCTTTTCGGCTGTTTGTACGGCGCGAGATACGCTCAACGAGAGAGACGTCTCCTTCAAGCCCGGGTATTCGGCAGAGGATGAATACCCGATGCATATCCAGATTATCGGCTCTATCCGAGATACGTGTCCCGTCTCTTATGGTACCGGGATGCTCTCCTTCTGCGGATCCCACGGCCACCGCCGGTTTCTCGTGTTTCCCCTTGCAGAGTGCAAATAGCAGAGATTGCGCTCGTTCAACGCTTGTTGCCGCTTGTATGTCGGCGGTTAGGCATCTGCTGCAAGGCCTGAAATATATTGAAGATGCTGCCTTCGATGCAACCCCGGTGCATCAGATAAAATGCCATGGAACACAAGTGCATTCTATAAGATGTATGAACTATGCATATTTGCCCCTGCAGGCGGAGCTATCCAGTTTACAAGCCGACCGTCTGGGCTGCTCTAACGGGCGCGATGCAGGTCACTGAGACGCAAGACTTGGTCTGCCTCGCAACTGTATTCTTTCTATTTTTGGGCAGCGTTAGACATACAGATGAAGCCAAAGTCGTAAGCGGCCAGCCGAGGGGGGCGAAGAGGGCATTCGCCTTGTCCTTGCCAACCGGACGCATTCCGTGCGGGAGGGGGTGTTCGGGTGCAGTAGCCGGCACGAAAGGAGTACGGAGCAATACGGAGTATAAATGCTGGTTGGTGACAAGGTCCCTTGTTGGCTCTCGACTGGCCAAGGGTGCTTCGCCCCCGGCACCTGAACTGGCATTGCATTGGGTATGGGTGTGAGGCTTGAAGACGAGGGTTGGAAGGGAAGCCAATGCAGGTGTTGCCGCGAGTTAAAGCCCCAAGTCTAGAAGCAGTAATATCAGCGTTGAGTGCAAACCTTGATAGTTTCTTGCGCTGACTGAAAGGTACATACATACATATGTAGGGTTGCTATATCCGTCTATCGCGGCAGCCAAGTGCTGCCCTGAGAGAGAGACGACTCGAGGCATGAGACATGCTGCATACTGGCTCGTACCAAAATGAGCACTCGTGTCGGTTCAACGTTTTCTTTTCGCTACCGCAAGTCAACCGCGTGGCGTTGAACATTGGCGCCCGCGATACGGCAAGCCACCACATGCCCGGTGAAACCAACAATGGTCTACAGCCGGCGCCTTGTTGGGCGAGGGTACATATGCACATGTGTGCAGGCTCACGGAATGGTCGATGAGTGAATAAAGAAAGGGACATGGACAAGTTCCAGTTGAAGTGAGCCCGCCAATCTCGGTAACGAGCCTATCTCTTTAGATGCTGAGTGGCTCGTGGAGACTCGCTTACCTAACAAGATTGTATGGCAGAGGAGTCTCCACGAGCCAGTCCTCATCTAAAGACATTCGTCGTCCCCCCTTGGACAATGAACGTGCTGGTGGCTGCTGGTCCGTGCCAGGGTAACTTATAATGCCATTGGATGCTGTCCATGGGCACCAATTGCCATCACCGGGGAACTGAAACACACAGACAAAGAAGCAAGTCCAACAGCGAGTTGGCAGTGGCCGGCGTGAGTCATCTCTCTGCATGGTCCCCTTTGTTTGTGTGTTTCTCCGAGTGACTCACTAGCTACTACACAGACATGACACGCATGTGCCGTGTATGCACGCCATGGTCTGTGAAGCGTCAAATCCATCGTTGGTCATGGGGGGATATGCCTCGATGGAGCATTGAGTCGGTGGTTGGTTGATTGATTGATTAGACAAGGACCGTCGGTGACTCATCCAGTAACGACAGAGTACGTGCTGGTGCTAGGACTAGTACTAGTACTACTAGTACTGCTGCTAGCACCAAGCGTTTTGGAACTTTCAAGTTGGCCGTCCGTTGGCCGCGGGTCCCGCTTTATTTCCGTCGCCAAATTGTTCAAACGTTTCCGTCTTGCGTCCGAATAACCCTCCCCGATGCGCCGACTATGCCTTTGCATGTGCGCAAGTCCAATTGATGTATCTAATCTACTTTTTTTTATGATACTTGAAGATACTTAAATATGCTTTTTTATAAGTAATAATAACTGATATATTTTTATATACTTAAGTATCTTTAAAAATCTTAATAACTTCTATTATTATATAATCTCTAAGTATATATATCTTTTAAATAAGTAATTACTACTGGCTAGAACCCTGGTCCGTTGCAAAATTGGACCTGCGCACATTCGAAGGGATGTACTGTGAGCCCACCGGTTGCTTGGTAATAATGTAATCCGCCGGGGGAAAGAGACCACTTGAGGGAAACAATGTGGTTGTGGCAGCTCGCGACTTCGGCTTTGGACCTAAACGGCGGCGCATTCGCCAGTTCCGGGACGCCAAGACTGACTATATTGTAGATCCTGGACATCAATTTCGCGCCCTTTGTCATATCACTGCTAGTATTTGTCCTCCAACTCCGTCTTCACCATCTGCCTACATGTCTCCCCCACATGCAAAGGGTCTGGTCCGTCCACATCCGCGTCCACATCCGCGTCCACGTTGCCTGGCGCCATGCTGCCGACCCTCCTCCATGGTGTTTCGTTAAATGCCTCCGAGCCGCGCTGCCCAGTTTGATCCCGCTTCTCTTCCCTCCACCGCCATCCATATCCATACATACGCACGGGGAAGGTGTAGGACCGGCATAGTATCCTTCAGTATCCAACTTGACTCTTCGAGGCGTGCCTTCCCTGTGGACATTCTTGCCACCTGCCACTTGACTTCATCCGGACTTATCCAAAAAAGGAAAGAAAAAAAAAAAGGTCACAGCCCTCCTGATTAGCATCACCACAACACCAACACTACAACAACTTCTAGGATCTGCTTTCGCCTCTTGAACGATTCGATGGGACGGCAGCCGGTAGAGTAGGATATATGGCACACCATTCCGCGGTTGGGCAATCCGAGGCCCAAAAAGGACGACATGCACCCACATCCCGATCTCAGTCTCCGGATTCTGCATTGACCGCAGGCGACAACCAAAGTATTGGAAACCATGCCGCTGGCGTGCCGTATGGTGTTTCTGTAGAGCAGGCCGAGGCTGATTTTGTGCAATTGCAAAGGGAGCTCACGGGTGCTTCTCGAGCGAGCCGTAGGCGCAGCGCCGTCAAGAACATTGACCCCGAAAAGGCAGCTCCCGTAGACTCTAGAGGCACAGATAATGAGTCCCTATTTGACCTCGAAACTGTCCTGCGCGGTAGCCTCGCTGCTGAAGAGGCCGCTGGGATCAAGCCGAAGCACATTGGGGTCTGCTGGGATGGATTGACGGTCAAGGGCATCGGAGGCATGGCCAACTACGTCCAGACATTCCCCAATGCATTCATCAACTTCTTCGACGTCATAACGCCAGTCATCAACCTGTTGGGCCTGGGGAAGAGACCGCCCGAGGCAACCCTTCTCGACAGCTTCCAGGGCGTGTGCAATCCTGGAGAAATGGTCCTCGTCCTAGGCAAGCCGGGATCCGGCTGCACGACATTCCTCAAGACCATTGCTAACCAAAGGCACGGATACACCAGCGTTCAGGGAGACGTCTTTTACGGCCCTTGGACGGCCAAGGAGTTCACTCGCTATAGAGCCGAGGCTTTGTACAATGCCGAGGACGACATTCATCACCCGACTCTTACAGTAGAACAGACGCTGGGGTTTGCCCTCGACACCAAGATGCCCGCCAAACGGCCTGCAAATATGACCCAGGACGACTTTAAGGAGCATGTCATTTCCACCCTGCTCAAGATGTTCAATATAGAGCACACTAGAAAAACGGTTGTGGGCGATCATTTCGTCAGGGGCATCTCGGGTGGCGAGCGGAAACGAGTCTCCATTGCAGAGATGATGATCTCCAATGCCTGCATCCTGTCCTGGGATAACAGCACGCGCGGTCTTGATGCCAGTACCGCCTTGGACTTTACAAGATCACTTCGCATTCTGACCAACTTGTACAAGACGACCACCTTCGTGTCCCTGTATCAGGCATCCGAGAACATTTACAGGCTCTTTGACAAGGTCATGGTGATTGACGAAGGCAAGCAAGTCTACTTTGGTCCTGCCAACCAAGCCCGAAGCTACTTTGAAGGACTCGGATTCGCTCCAAGGCCTCGACAAACCACACCGGACTACTTGACCGGCTGCACCGACGAATTCGAAAGACAGTACGCGCCGGGATGCTCCGAAAACAACTCACCGCACAGCCCGGATACTCTGCGCGAAGCATTCCGCAAGTCCAACTACCAGAAGAAGCTCGAGTCCGAGATTGCGGAATACAAGGCCAACTTGGACCAAGAGAAGCACAAGCACAATGACTTCCAGATTGCCGTCAAGGAAAGCAAACGAGGCGCTTCCAAGCGATCCGTCTATCAGGTCGGCTTCCACCTACAGGTATGGGCCCTTATGAAGCGGCAGTTCACTCTCAAGCTCCAAGATCGGTTCAACCTCACGCTTGCATGGGTCCGAAGTATCGTCATTGCCATTGTCCTCGGCACGCTCTATCTCAACTTGGAAAAGACCTCTGCCAGTGCCTTTAGCAAAGGCGGTCTTCTCTTCGTGGCCCTTTTGTTCAATGCGTTTCAGGCGTTTTCCGAGTTGGCATCAACAATGTTGGGCAGGGCGATTGTGAATAAGCACAAGGCCTACGGCTATCACAGGCCCTCAAGCCTGTGGATTTCACAGATCCTGGTGGACCAGGCGTTTGCTGCGAGCGAGATCATGCTATTCTCCATCATTGTGTACTTCATGAGTGGCCTAGTGAGGGATGCCGGCGCGTTCTTCACCTTCTACCTCATGATCCTGTCGGGAAACATTGCCATGACGCTATTCTTCCGAATCATCGGCTGTGCGAGCCCCGACTTCGATTATGCCATCAAGTTTGCTGTTGTCATCATTACGCTCTTCGTCACAACCTCCGGGTACATCATTCAGTATCAGTCTGAAAAAGTGTGGCTTCGATGGATCTACTGGGTGAACCCGCTTGGCCTCATCTTTAGCTCACTGATGCAGAATGAATTTCAACGCATTGACATGACTTGCACTGCTGATTCGTTGATTCCTTCTGGGCCGGGATACACCGATATTAACCATCAGGTCTGCACGCTGCCCGGCTCCAACGCGGGAACAACATTTGTTGCAGGGCCAGATTACATTGCACAAGGCTTTTCGTACTATCCCGGCGACCTGTGGCGGAACTGGGGGATTGTCCTGAGCATCATCATTTTCTTCCTGATTCTCAACGTTGTGCTCGGCGAGGTGGTCAAGTTTGGGATGGGAGGCAACTCATTCAAGGTTTATCAACGCCCTAATAAGGAACGCGCAGCCTTGAATGAGAAGCTGCTAGAGAAGCGAGAGGCCAGACGCAAAGACAAGTCGAACGAAGTTGGATCTGATCTAAGCATAAAGTCGGAAAGTATCCTCACATGGGAGAATCTCAACTATAATGTCCCGGTCCCCGGAGGCACACGCCGCCTTCTCAACAATGTATTCGGCTATGTTCGACCTGGTGAGCTGACGGCTCTCATGGGCGCCTCGGGGGCCGGCAAAACGACCCTTCTCGACGTTCTCGCTTCCCGTAAGAACATCGGCGTCATCACTGGTGATGTTCTCGTCGATGGCTTCAAGCCTGGCAAGCAGTTCCAGCGATCAACGTCGTATGCCGAACAACTTGATCTGCACGAGCCGACGCAGACTGTTCGTGAGGCCTTGCGGTTCTCCGCCGACCTTCGCCAGCCGTATGAGACCCCCCTGGCCGAACGCCACGCATACGTTGAGGAGATCATTGCCTTGTTGGAAATGGAACACATTGCAGACTGCATCATTGGCACCGCGGAAGCTGGTCTGACTGTCGAGCAGCGCAAGCGAGTCACCATCGGCGTTGAGCTTGCTGCCAAGCCAGAGCTTCTCCTCTTTCTGGATGAGCCCACGTCCGGGCTTGACAGCCAGAGTGCGTTCAATATTGTCCGATTCCTCAAGAAGCTCGCTGCGGCAGGACAAGCTATTCTCTGCACAATCCACCAACCCAACGCTGCTCTGTTTGAAAACTTTGATCGGCTCTTGCTCCTCCAGCGTGGCGGACGGACCGTCTACTTTGGAGACATTGGTGAAGACGCTGCCATCTTGCGGGCATATCTCAGACGTCATGGGGCCGAGGCCGCTCCTACGGACAACGTCGCCGAGTTCATGCTCGAGGCCATTGGTGCCGGCAGTTCGCCTCGAGTTGGTGAGCGTGACTGGGCTGACATCTGGGACGAGAGTCCCGAACTCGAGCGTGCCAAGAAGGCTATTGTTGAAATGAGAGAGGAGCGAAAATCCGTGGCTCAGCACGCGAACCCCGACCTGGAGAAGGAATATGCCTCGCCGGTTCACCACCAAATCAGGATCGTGGTTCGCCGCATGTTCCGTGCATTCTGGCGCACGCCAAACTATCTCTTTACTCGGCTGTTCAGCCACTTTGCCGTGGCCTTTGTTTCCGGCCTGACGTATCTCAACCTCGATACGTCCAGATCCTCGCTCCAGTACACAGTCTTCGTCATCTTCCAGGTCACGGTTCTGCCAGCCCTCATCATCTCCCAAGTGGAAGTCATGTTCCATATCAAGCGAGCCCTCTTTTTCCGCGAAGCCTCATCCAAGATGTACTCGCCCATGACCTTTGCCACGGCTATTGTCGCCGCCGAGATGCCGTACTCGATCCTGTGCGCAGTCGTCTTCTTTGTCTGCCTGTACTTTATGCCGGGCCTAGACCCCACGCCTTCACGAGCCGGCTATCAATTCTTCATGGTTCTCATCACCGAAGTCTTTGCCGTCACCATGGGCCAAGGCCTTGCGTCGCTGACGCCCTCGCCCCGAATTTCGGCCCAATTCGACCCCTTCATCATCATCATATTCGCTCTCTTCTGTGGCGTCACCATCCCGGCGCCCCAAATGCCAGGCTTCTGGCGCGCTTGGCTCTACCAACTCGACCCCTTCACCCGGCTCATCGGCGGCATGGTAACAACGGCTCTGCACGGGCTCCAGGTCGTTTGTACCTCGTCTGAGTTGAACCGCTTCACGGCACCCAGCAACATGACATGCGGGGAGTACATGACGCCGTTTTTCGAGCGTGGTGCGCCGGGATATCTCGTCAGCAATGATACGCAGAATTGCGAGTATTGCGCGTACAAGATTGGTGACGAGTTTTACGGACGGCTCAACATGTCGTTTGATAATCGGTGGAGAGATTTGGGTATTTATATAGCCTTTATTGGCAGCAATCTCATCATTCTTTTTACCGCGGTACGTATATTCTGTGCATTCTAGACCTGGTAGAGTCTCTGGTGCTAACTTTTAAAAAAAAACAGAGTCGATTCTTGAACTTTAATAGGAGGTAGGTGCGTCGTGCAAGTTGAATATTAGACTGCGACTTTTGCATTGCATGCGGCGGAGTACATGAGAAATAATAAAAGTTCAAATGGATGCGAAATAGATCATAATAGAGACTATAAATTTTTATTACTATTTTGTTCAACCTATCCCAATATTCGTGCCGGCACTGCATCAGGTAGGGGGCCCAATTGTACAAACACCGTGTGCCTGGTCGTACCCAAACGAGAGAACCGTAACGTGCTGAAGGAAACACCGTAATACTAGAGACTCTACAGGACGGCACCAGGGAGCTACCCAGGTATCTGATGTTGCAGAACCGGAAATGTGACCCTCGTGTTGTGGTCGTGGCGAATCTTGGCCTGCAAAAGTGGGCCGTTGGGCTGGAGGACAGGCGACGACCCGATGAGATCCACGCCATGTTTCAATGAGACATCTCATGATCTGACGACTGCTTTTTGTCTTGGCTTATCCGCATTCTGCGACCATGAGACGCCGTCAGGCCGTGACGGCTTCTTTGCATTCGTATATGACCTGCCTACGAGCCACCTAGCACAAACTGCCCAAGATCATCCTCAAGAGTTCAAGACACACGGGCGTCATCCGAGGACCTCGGCTTACGAGTTTCCCAACGTTCATCTACAAACATCACACACTCACCATTTTAGCATCAAACATCAAGATATCAACATGTGCATAGTGCTCTTTACCACGGCACATCCCGACTACCCCCTCATTCTGATCGACAACAGGGACGAGTTCATCCTGCGCCCGACATCCCGGCCTCACTGGTGGACGCACCCAACCTCTGGCGAGCAGGTGCTGTCGTCTCGAGACCTCCAGCGCGCAGAAAAGGGCACCTGGCTGGGCATAACCAAGTCGGGGATATTCGCCGTCCTGACCAACTACCGCGAGGCCAACGCCCACGACGCCAGGCACCCCGTCCACGGGAGGAAGAGCCGCGGCGCCGTGGTGACGGCCTGGCTGGCCGGGCTGGGGGGCAGCATCAAGGACGGCGTCGAGCACCTCGTCAAGGACGACGGCGTCAAGGGCGTCGGGGGGTTCTCCCTGGTCTGCGGCCGGCTGAGGAGAAAGGGGGAGGGCGTGGCCATCGTCAGCAACAGGGCCGGGCGCGCCGACGAGGTGCCCGTCGTGGCCGAGCAGAGGGGGGAGACGTGGGGGTTGAGCAACACCACCTTTGACGCCGAGGCCGCGTGGCCAAAGGTCGAGCTGGGCACCAGGATGCTCCGCGAGGCTGTGGCGAGCGCCGTCGAGCACAGGCACGGCGAGGAGGACCTGGTTCAGGCGCTGTTCGGGGTGCTCGACACCGACACCTTCCCCGCGGCCCGGCCGGGCGCGAGCTTCGAGGAGCTGACGGGCCTCCTGCGGCACACCATTTTCGTGCCCGAGGTGGGCGACGAGAGCCATCTCGAGTCCATGGAGGCGGCGCGCGCAAAGGGCAGGGCGGCGTGGGTCGCGGACGAGGGCAAGCTACGCGCCGTCGAGGAGATTCTGCTGGAGCAGCAGCCCGAGGTGAGCGCGCAGGCGGCCAACGGCTTCGAGACGGGCATGTACGGCACGCAGAGGCAGACGGTGGTGCTGGTCGATTGGGACGGAAACGTAAAGGTCGTGGAAAGGGCATTGTGGGATCGCAACGGACATAGCATCGCGCGCGGGGACGGCGACGTCGTGTTTGAGTTTGCCATTGAGGGTTGGGACGGTGACAGTCACGACGACGGACAATAAGACTTGTCGAATGGGCGGCGGGCTACTAGACAATAATAAATGGTTTCAAGATGGACCGGCTTTGCTTGCCCGTCGTCAAAGGAACCAAGAGCGTGACAAGATTGAACAATTGGGGAGAACATTGGAGAGCCTGCGCTGAATGGCGGGCAGCTGCCGACGACTGTTGAGCTGCTTGCCCGCCACCTGCCATTCACTCCAAGCGATTGAGTGAACTCTGCGGCCATTTGGCAATTCGCCTTCTTTTCCCCCCCCTTCTTCTTCACTTCCCCAATCATCTCTGCAAGAATTACCATAGCTTCCGGCACCCGCGTTCATCGCTCATTGTTCACCTCGCCCGCGGCTGTCGTGTTCAGCGGTGGCCGTTTGTCCGTAAACAAACACTTTTGACGTCGTCTGAAACACGCTTCTTCATTGACGCCACGTCGAAGATTGACGGGTTCAGCAAGGTGTAGACAGGCGCGTGTCCTGCCGAGCCGAACGCGATAGTCTGCTTGCACTCTTCTATGTTCGGGCTCGTGTGGCTGTTACTCATTGTCTCAACTTGCTTAAAAACAACCCCATCTCAACCGCATTCCATGGATGTGAGGCCAGAAACAATTCAAGTTTGATTTTTTTTCCTGCCTTTTCTTTTTTTTTTAAAAAAAAAAAAAAAACCCTCAGTCGCCTACTATAGAAATTCCAAGGGATATTCAACCTCTGGCAGATTCAGAGTGACGTCAATACACCATCATGCACAGACGTACACACGCAAAACGACCCGTCATATCAGCACCAATTGGTCCTGTTCAACATTTGGACGGATCAGGATTCAGTGGAACTGAGGCCTTGCAGGGCGGAGCTTGGGTCGATTACTGCGAGGGCAACCGAAGCTACATGGCATGCAACCCGAACTCTTCTTCGGACTCGCTTGCCTCGCGTAAGTCTCGACGGGTCTCTCAGAGCTTCCCGATTACGGAGCCCCCGTCCGCGAGCCCGACGGTCGTCGAGTCAGACGTCAGCGCTCTTACTCGGATACAGACAAGTAATTCTTCCAAGGCGTCGCTGGGCAAGAAGTCAGCCTTCTTGTCGCTTTCGAGAAGGTCGTCGTCGAAGCAATTCCCCAAGTATACCCTGGAGGCGCGTCCAGAGTCGGCTGACAATGCTGAAAACACCCTGCCTTTGAAAGGGCTCGAAAATGATGCGGATTCTTCTATTCCTAGGTCGATGAGAAAATGGCACAAGTCGAAGGCGCTGAAGATGCTTCAATTCAAGACGCCGTTTTCGAGAAAGGCCTTGGCCGCCATCCAGAGTCTCAACCCCGATCATCCGCAGCCAGACGAATCTGAACTGAGTGCTTCGGGTTCGAGATCCTCTGAGTCGACCCTGGAACCATTTCCTGGGAGCGATACTCGCCCAAGCCCTCCTGCCAATACCGCTCCTAAAAAACCAGAGAGCGAGCCACAGGACGGCATGTACTGGGCCGGCCGCTGCGGAGGATATCGTGATAGGATTTTAACCGACATGCTTAATAAAGGCTCCTTCGATGCATCTTCATCACCACACAACACCAATAACCGCTGGAAGACTGGCCCATCGCTGGCTTCTCCTAATCGCTTGACCTATCTCGCTCCGTCAAACACAACATCAGCTCTACCAACAGTTGCATACGACCCCAGACCACGTCTACCTGATGAACGTGATGTTGACCAACGTGTATCCAAGCACCTAGAGTCTGAGTGCACTACAAAAGTGGCGCAAGAATCGTTCAAGGATTACTACGCTCTTTATGCATGCTTCGAAGGTGGATACGCTCCGTATGGCAAAGGCCAGAAGAGCGGACTTTTTGCTGGTGTGGTCAATCGCTTTGAAAGTGACGGCAAACGACGAGAGCCAAAACTCAAGGAGCTGACAAACTCGAGGTCAGGGGCGGTTGGCATTACTCCTGGCCGAGGAGTGTCAGTATACTGAACGCTTGTTGGCTTAAGCTTGTTTTGGAGACTAGCTGTTTGGTGTATTTTGGAGTGTTATTGGCTCTCTCGCCCGCTACTTGTTTTTCTCTGCCGGGTGGAAAGCAGATGAACAATTGGTTGTATCGGTTTCATCTTTCTTGTCTGAATAACGATTGGGCAGTGGATTGGTGTTGGATTTTCGACTTTTTGTCACATTCTTTCGAGGGAAAACGAAAGAAAAAAACGGGTTTACACGGCTTCCTTTTGTTTTGGCGACGGCATCATATTGGCATGGCTCATGAAACTGGCTGGTCTAGTTGGCCCTCGGGCGTATCATTGTAAAATTTAGAAAGATGCGAATTGCTTACGATGGCTTTGCTTCGCGGGCTGAAGCAGACATGCGTGTATATTAGGTGTAAAAAAGGGGGGGGGAACCAGGCATTGGTAATCATGCTGCTAACTAAGTTTCATTCTTCTCTATTCTGAGGCCTCGTGCTCAGATCTTGCTGATGGCAGTCTTGCTGCATCTAAGCCTGTCAACTGTATACAGTGTCCCTTGATATTGTATCCAACCCGCCAAACGCCGCTCCCAAGTTTTTCTCTTCTTCCTGCCCCTCTTCTCAAAAAGGTACAAGGCCGTCTTCTAACCTGGGCAACATTAGTGAGCAAAAGCACTCTTCGCCTATTCGATACGCTTCCTGCTCTTCAAATAATCCCTAATCTGCTCGTACTTGTTGGCAAAAAACATGCCCGACTTGTCGCTCCTCCAAACCAAGACGCCGATTTCCTCCGCGAACCGCGCGGTATCCAGAAACTCCTTATGGTCCTCGAAATCACGAAACAAGAAGCCGCCCGTCGTCTTCATGCGTTCGTTTTCCAGCTGCCACAGGCGAATCTGGTCGACGACGGTGGGCGGCAGGATGGGCTTGTTGGCGAGGGCGGCGCTGCGGTGCATCTGCTCGTGCGCATGGGCGGCCAGGTAGGAAATGATTTGGTCGGCGCTGATGCCAAAGTTGATGGCCTGGTGGATGGAGGTGCGGGTCACGCGGCCGGCGACCATGTCGGGGAACCGCATGTTAAGCTTGCAGAAGAGTGCGAGGACGGCAATCTGCAGCGTGGACTGGGTGTAGGCGTAGATGCGGTAGTTGGTCTCGACGATGACGCTGCCCTTTTGGTCGGCCGAGGGGCCGAGGGGCCCGCCCGCTCCGCCCGAGCCCGACTGCGACGAAGAGCCGCCGGCTGTAGTCGTCGCGGCGGCGGTCGCGGCGGCCACGCCCTCGCTAATGGTGCGCAGGCTGCTCCCGCCGCTGGTAAGGGTGGTGGCGAGCCGGGTCGGGAAGAACATGGACCGCTTGTGCTGCGGGATGTAGATGAGGCCGAAGTCGAGGAGGGAGGGGAGCATGTTCTTGCGCTGCTCGGTGAGGGCGTTTGTGTCGTAGGCGCGGCCGAGCTCGAGGCTCGCCAGGACGAAGAGGAACGAGAGCATGTCAACCGTCTCGAGGCCGGCCGCCTTGTTCGTCTCGCTGGCCTCGAGCCAGAGCAGCAGCAGGGTCCAGACCTGTGCGTTTGGCTCCTGCAGCAGGAAGGTGAAGCCGGCCTGCGTGATGCCGATGGTGCCGTTGGGGCGGCGGTCGACCAGCCTGCCTGCGATGAGGAGCTCCTTGACGCTCTTGTTGGGGCCCGACACGTCGCCCGTGCTCTTGTATCCGACGCTGGAGACGACAAAGTGCAGAATGTCCTCCCACCTCTTGCGCGCGTAGCGGTCGAGGAAGGGCGTGTCGATCTCGGGTGGGACGAGGAGCGTCGACGGCACGCCAAACGAGTTGTGTTCGCCTCCGCCGGTGAGGGCCAGCCGCAGGGAGTTTTTGAAGTTGGTTGTCAGCTGCATTTCCTGGGGCTTCTCCTTGGACGGCATGGAGATTTGGATAATGTGGAGGCCTTTGAGGGTCGAGATGGCATGGTCTCGCTGTCTGTTTTGCATTTCGGTTTTAGATGATGTTCGAGGGTGTCACCGCCAGAGGAGCCTCATGGCTTGGTTGGGAAAGGGAGGTGGGTTTTTTTTTACCTCTTCGCGTCTGGCTTCACCCAAAGGTCGAGGTCGCTGAGAGGCATCGGCTTGGGCATGTAGAGGATGCGCATAACGAGTGTCTTGGCTGGGCAAGGTGACCGAGTTAGCAGCCAGTATATGATGTATGTATGATGTGTAGAAGCGTGCCAGCCCAGCTTCCAGAGAAGAGGGAAATGTACCTAGATGCGGCAGCATGCGCCGAAAAATGGCAAACGCCGTCGAGGGCTGCTGGTACAGCTTTCTAAAGGTGGTGCCGGGCAGCTTCTCGAGGTAGTCTGCGAGCTGCAGGGATGGCGCTGGGTTGACGGACATTTTGGCGGCGAGACCAGTCCGTCGGAAAATATGACGTGTAGCTATATCATCATAAGCTGAATTGAGGCCCGCCGGTGGGAAGAATGGTCATGAAAGAACGGCCGGGCGAGCGAGTGAGCACAGTTGAATGTGGTTCAGACGTCGTGGTAGGTGAAAGATTACATGTGCGGTGCGGCGGCGTGTGTCCGGGTGATGGTCGGAGAATAATTGCTTAGCGCGCGCTTCTTGCTACTAGTGCCGCCAACGCCAACGCCAACGCCAACGCCAACACTTGCCGTCCGCGTCCGCATCTTCAATTGATGCAACATTTGAACGGTCTTCTCGTCCTACGGGTGGGCTTAAATGCATTCACAACAAATAAACCGTGCTCCATCTCTCCTGCATCGCCACGGTACTGCAGCGAAGCACACACTCTGTCCAGTAGCCATAATCAGCGAATAGATGACACTATTCATAAGCGTGTGAGATGGCAAATCTCGAAGCCGGTCACCTTTTAGCGGCTTCTACACAACTTGACTCCAGCACTTGCCATTAATTATAGGACGTAGTCTTCTTCGCCTTATGTATTTAGCCTTAATTCTCGCCCCGTTCCCTATCACCAACAAAATCAATCCCGCCGCCAGCTAGATGTATGTACTACCTGCGCACCCCAACTCGATTTTATTCGTTCTCCGATCCGCAACGCCCGACCTCGAACCGGGTACGCATGTGCAGGGGCTCCGTGCCTGCGGCCCCCGAGAAGCGGATACCACCCTCGCAGCTTAGCTCAGGAACGGACGCCCAGCCGCCGACCTCGAACACTTATCCTACCCCCGTACAACAGCCAACCACCAACACAATGGCCAAGAAATTATCCCCTACAGCCTTCACAAAAGCCGTATGTGCGCAACCACGCATCTCACCTCATCAACGGCGCTAATTCCCCACAGGTAATGCGGTCGTTCATGGCCGACTCAGGCCTAGAACCGAGGTGAGCCGGCCCTCCCAAGTCCTCACCCCACGCCACGCACCATATCCCAAGTCCATCTCAACCAGCAAAAAAAAAACATCTTACACAATCATACCCTCTGACGCCTTGCACGCAGATTGCTAGGCCCAAGAGTACGCTCTCATCCAAAGCAACCCCCCCGCCAAACCTAACAAAGTCCAGCTGCGCATTGTAAGCGCGCAACCCGGCCGCGTCGACTTCGAGCTTGACATCCACAAAGACCACACAGTTCGGCCCCCCCCAATCCCCCCCAACAAAACGCACTGATAAACTCACGAGAACGCCGCAGAACCGTCTTAGCACTCTCCACGGCGGCACGCTCGCCAGCCTAGTCGACCTCGGGGGCTCGCTGGCCGTCGCCTCCACGGGCCGCTTTGCGACCGGCGTCTCGACAGACTTGAACGGTAAGCCGAGCCTTCTGGAATTTCGCAAAACACGTACTTATCAGTGGCTGATTCATCCCCCCTCTCTCGGAATTAGTCACGTACCTTGCGCCTGGTGGGAAACCGGGCGACCTCCTCAGGGGCACGGCCACCTGCGACAAGAGTAAGAGCACTGCGAGAACTACGTATCAGGGCTTTGGCCTTTGTGAGGCTGACGCGGACGTAGTTGGCAAGACGCTCGCGTTTACGACGGTCACATTCACCAACGGCAAGGGCCAATTAGCTGCCAGGGGCAGCCATACAAAGTTTGTGCTCTTTCTTGACGGCTGAAAAGTGACCAAGGAACGTCTCGTTGCTAATCGCGTTTAGGTACGTCGCTGGCACCATGGGCCCAGACGGCCCGTACGTTGCACCGCCCGAGTTTTCCGAAGATGTAGACTAGATTGCGTTCGAGGCTAAATCATAGATATGTGTGTACATGATACTTCTAGTAGGAAATTCGTCCAACATAAGGTGTCCCCTTTGTGTATACTCCATGCAAAATATGTACCACCCAACGCCTCAAACTCCGCTGCTCTGATTCACCCATGACCCAATAGACTGTGTGGCAATAAAAATACATGCCGAAAAAAGGTAGTTTTGTTCAAATCCCATGACCTCAACTCTTCTCATTATATGGCAAAGGCTGTGACTGCGGTGTTCTCCCGTCTGCTTGATGATAAAGCCCCATGGCGTCCGCGTGAGGGGGCGGCGAGCCAGACAGTGGTCTGCCATCGTAGCCTTGTTGCACGGGTAGCGCAAACGACGGGCCTGCTTGTGCTTCCTCGCCGGCACCGACGGGAGTGAATGCCAATGTGTGTTGTGGCACTGGCTGAGGAGGAACTTGGTGGCGAGCGCTGTAATAGTCGGGGGGTGAATCATCTTCGCCCTCAGCTTCCAGCGTTTCTCGTATTTGCTGCTGCTCTCCCTGCAATGGCGGCGGGTGCACTGGGCGGCGGGGGATTTCGTGCCGAGGCATCGGTGCGGGTAGTATGTGCTCGCGAGACGTGACTTGCAGCATCTCGTGCATTTGGGGTTCTTGCATGTTGGGCTCTAGGTCTGCTTCACTTGGCTGGCTAGTACCGCGCGAATAGCTCCGAGAGCTTTGCTGAGGTGAGATGTCTAAAAGACCTGGTGTATAAGGCTGCTTCGTAGACCAGAGGCCGCGCTTCTTGCAGCCGAGGGCGAAAAGAACGCAGAAGATGACCAAGGCCGGCCAGGTATCTGCAATCACATCTATCACGGTGAATACCGAAGGCGGTGTGTTGGTAGCGCCGTCGCGAGGTTTGAATGCTATGGCATAGCCCACGTTGTAGGAACCACGCAATACAAGGAGCGAATCGCATACAATGAGATACGTACTTGCCTGTAGGTGGAAGCACAAGACGTCAATACAAATTAAGAGGTGCGATGTGAGAGTTTCAACGACGTCACTGTTTCAACATACCATTGCAACACGCTTGTCTCCTCGGCAGCGCACCTTTGTAATGATGGACTTGACAGAGATGCACACCACCACAGCCAGAGCCATACAATACATGGTCAAAGACAAGAGTTGGGACGTCTTGCCCAACTCCAACTGGCTATACGATGATCCGACGTAGGAGTGGTCATACCCGATACGGCTGCTGGCCAAACCAAAGGCGGAATAGAGGTGTTGGCCGATAGCAAATGCGACGACGCTCAGAATAGAAAGGACACCGGCCAGTCCATAGACAGAGAAGTGGAATATCTTATCAGCGAGCTGGACGGTTCCGGGCATCACAGCGCCATCGCCATGGCTCGGTTCCGTGTTGTGCGCGACAAGGATGCCCTCGTCGAGTCCGCTGATGGCAAGTATGAGGCAAATGTCGGAGAAGTTTGTGAGTACGGTGCCGAGAAGATCGAATTCGACCTGGACAGGTAGAATGTCTTTCGAGTGGATGGAATCATAGTTTGGCAGATAGAGATCGGAGAAGAGGACGGCGAGTAAATGTACGACGAAACAGGAGAAGCCGGCCCTGGCCATGGGTTAGCATATAGAGGCAAAAAAACCCAAGACTGAGAGTGCCTCTCTCTGCCTTGTGTGTTCCCGTAGGCGGCTAGAAACCCCATTGTCATGCCTTGACTTGTTCGACAGACATGTGGTACGGCAGGGGCGCGGGGGAAAAGACTGGATGATGGTGCTTACAATGAAAACAAGATGAAACCTGTTTTAAACCAGAGCAACCAATGCCGAGCAGGATCCTTCTTCCGGCGAACGATGCACAGCGAACAGAAGAAAATGACAAAGGCGGGAAACGAGGTCAGAAAGAGCAAGACGCAGGCAGCGATGACCCAGACCAACTGGTAGCTGGAATACATTGCTGGACAGCAGAACAGTCCCAACTGTCGTGGGCGCTAGCTTGTCAATTCATTCGGGGCCGGATGCAATGGCCAAGGGAGGCAATGTTGATAAATGGACCTCGGCCTCGTATGCAGGATCGTCACAGATCCGTCTTGGTGGTGGTGCCTTGCAAGTCTGTGGATGCAGAGAAGAGGAGGAGGGTTGAGGGATTGACTGCAATAGCAAGACTCAAGTCAAGACTCGAGAGCAAGTCACAAGTCGTCAATCAGCCATGGCGCGAGTTCCCCTGTCGGGCGCCACACTCGTCGACAACGGCGTCGGGTCAGTTCAATGCATGATGGAGCAGACTGGCTAGACTTGGACCGGCGAGTCCACTGGGTCACGAGCTGATGGCGGCATGTGGGTTCAAATGTTGCTGCCGTTTGGTAAGTAGGTAGGACTAGTAAATATGCTTCATTCGATTGACCCTAGCCAGCTGTGTGATGTGCCGACGGGCGACGGCGTTTGGTGGGCGGGCTCGAGTCGAGATGGTATGGAGAGAGGCGAATGGGCTCGTCGCCAGCTCGCCAGCCCCGTAAAGCCGACATGGAATCGACGTGGATCGGCATGGATAGCTTGGATGGCGTCTCTGGCCGGGGATCCAAGACGACGGGTCTGGTGGCCCATCGATGGCGGAAACAAGTCAACAGGCAAGGCATCCTTTTGTTCTGTTTCGAGCCATGTCTCGGTGCATCCTCCATCTCGCTTTTCACAAGCATCTACCAATGGAGGTAGCCGATGACGAGCCTTGCATGATGGAGGGGGATGCGTGGATCAATGAAACGGGGGGGACGAAGACGCCAAATGCCTGCCTAGGGAGGTGGTTAGTTGTCTGGTTCTTGGACCTCGATAATGGGCCGTTAAAATGTCAACTGGTCAAGTCTGATTTTTCTCTCTCTTTAGTCTTGGCATTAAGCCTGGTCCACTTGCTTCTCGGAGCCTTGCCGCCTTACTTGCTTGTGCTTGGCCCTCCCAGTTATGAACTAAGGAGCAGGGAACTCCATATAATTATGATGTTTGTGTAATATCGCTCACGACGGGTCATGCTGCCAGCTGCGCAGGCATGAGCACGCAGGATTAATATCATAAATCGCACATCCTTGATGCAAGGCACGACCACCAAGGCAGCGCTTCAACAAAGACCCCTGCGATTATAAATCCAATTGGACCAAATCCGCTTCATAACCCCCAGAGTCCCTATTATGCATATCGAAACAGTATCAGTCAGTTCATAGGGGACAGAACCAGCCGATGAGAGTCCCACCAATGACAAGGCAAGGGGGCTTGCCTACGATCCGCCGACTTGGAGCTGGCGAGTCAAGCACCCTGGGACTTGAATTCCATGTGAGATGCCAGGCATATTGTACGGATCATGTACATGCGCGGTTCCCCGCTGCTAGTTTTAGTACTTTCTGGCGGCTAACAGCTGGGACTTGTCGCCATCTAGCGACTGGAGCGTTTTTGCCGCTTCACACAGCCTCTCACGATTCTCTCAATCTCGTTGGCGCGGTAAATATGCAGGCAAGCTCTTTACCCGCGCCACAGTTGTTTTTCTTTAATCTCCAACGAGTCGGCTCTATTCTTTGCGGAATGGAGACGCAGTGACCGGTTACCAACAATCCCCGGTGCATTTCAATTTTTTCATAGGCAGTCAGTCCTCTGGGCTCTTTAATAAGAGCAGCCACCAAGGCGAGTCGGCTGAAAACTGTGCTCAAGGACGGCAAAAGAAGCACGTCAAATCAAGGACAAGGTTAAAAATAAGAGCGGGCGACGGCGGTGGCGTCCTTGCGCGTGCCTGGTTGGGGACACTGGAAAGCAAAAACGGCTACCCCGTAGAAGCATCAATGATGCTGGACGTCAAGGGGATTGAAAACGCCAGCGAGCCCAGCGAACACGGACAGTGGCTGTCTGGTGCGGCAGGAGCCAACCATTAAAGTCCACATGTCAACACTGAGCACCGTTGGCCGCCCCAAACGCCTCCAAACGCTAACATTGAATGCCTCAGGCTCACCATCCATTCCGCCCTGATATCCGTCACCCTGTCCTGCCATCGCGTGACGTCACCGTCTTCACTGCCGCCCTCAAGATGCTATCAAGTCCTGTTCGGCACCAACAACACAGTCGAGCACGTCACTATGAAGTAGTCCCTCATGCTGGGATTGTTGGTGGCATGATCCGAACCGCTGTCCCAGAGCGATAAATAAGTAGCTGCCATGCAGAGCAACACTAGACAGTAATTGATGCCACACGCCTTCATGCCAATCCTGCAAAGCCCAGCAGTATGACTCTCACAACCGCCGTGTCGGACTTGTTCCAGTCTATTTACGAGCTATTCGCCTCGGTCCTTTCCACCATCTACGCCGTCATTCATGCCGCATTCAGCACCGTATGGAATTTCGTCGCCAGCATTCTGAGCCTGGTGCAGAGCATTGTCCGGGAGGCTGTCCACTTGACGGGCGGCGTGGGCAAGTTTGTCGCAAGTGAGTCACTTGGCCCTGTCGTCATTTCGCGTGCGGGCATTGGTGCTATTTTATTCCTATTTTATTCCACGTGTACATATTTCCATGGAGAAGGCCTCATGCTTACCATGTTTAGGCAACTTTGTTGCGCTCATTGTCGGCGGATTGCTCGTGTTTGTGTATCTGCGTTTCTCCGCCACGCCGTCTCGAGCCGGGCCTGTCGCGCAGAAGAAGACGCAGTAAAGACGGCGGCAATATATACCTGCATATCGGAGACATGAAGCGAGGGATATGGCAGCAAATGATGGAATTTCGTATTTCCTTTCTTTTCTTTTAGTTTTGGTTTCGGTACTATACAACCAGGTACTTTAGGTAGCACACATGTCCAGTTTCCTTTCACCAGCCAGATGTCGTCAACTCATGCCCCCGTACAGCGAGCATCACCACAAACGGTCTGGTAGTACATCAGTTGATCCCAAGCCAGACCAGACATCTTCATTTCCTTCCTCCTATCTAATCAGCCTTCCTTCCCGCCTTCGGCCCGCCCCTCTCGTCCGTCCCATGCCACCAGTCCAACACGCCAATACCGCCAAAGTAGACATTGAACCGCTCATGATGCCGGTCGTGCTTCCTCGCCAGCCCGCGCAGGAAATCGTAGCCGCTGTGCACCGTCGCCGTCTCGACGAGCTGGCACGCCACAAACACCCACATGGTCACGACGTGCACGCGCAGCAGCATCGGCGGCAGCGCCACCGGCAGCACGTTCGCCAGCAGGTGCTCCGCGGGGTGCGCGTACTGCGAGGCAAAGGCCACGGGCGCCGTGAAGCGGTGGTGGACCTTGTGGACGCGCTGGTAGAGCCAGCGCACGTGGAACAGCCGGTGCGCGTAGTAGAAGAGCACCTCGCGCCCGGCCATGCAGAGCGCCGCGTCGCGCGCGAGCTCCGCCGCCGACGGGAGCCCGGGCTCCACCCGCACCGCCGGCCCCCGCCCGTGCCCGCCGGACGACCCGTACCAGGCCAGCGCCGCCTGCGCCGCGAGCACCATGGCCTGGTTGCGTAGCGAGACGAGCGCCGCGTTGCGTATCTCCCGCGCCGTCGGCTGCCTGGGCGCCGGCTGGATCTTGTGCCGCGCCGAGAAGGCCGGCGCCAGGGCGTCCAGCGACACGAAGAACAGGCAGGGGAGCCACCAGAATATAAATTGCACCACCAAATTGCCTACAATGTCGATTGTGTAGGGGTCGTGCGTGGCCACCAGCTGCGCCCACAGCTGCGCGACGTTGAGGGCCACCGTCATGGCGTTGACGTCAGGACTGCCTGGTGGGAAGGACAGGGATTCGAGTTTGGCAAAACAGAATAGTGTCCCGGTATGGATGGACTGGTGAGAACTGTGGCTCTTGACGCAGAATTTCTGTTTTGGCAGCTTCACATCGTGCGTGTCAATGCTTCTCGCCCGTCACGGCGGCAATCGTGCCTATTTGAAGGTTTGGCTTTTTTTGTCGGGATTTATCCGAAGCCTTTGCCTCGGGCGGGGGGAAAGCCCACCGCTCAAGTAGTATTTCACGTGTCGGAATGATTCCGGTAGCCTGGCTCTCCTGCCGTCGACCGCATCCCTTTGAACGTGCGCAGGTCTAATGGCTGTGGCGGCCAAGGGTTCTGGCCAATGATGAATACTTGTATACGAGATTCATAAACTTACTAAGAAATTATATCAAGTGTTTTTTTGTTTTATTCTCGGGACGAATAATAATACAGGCATGACACAAGTATCGTGTAAGCAGAACGAATCACAGTATTAAGCTGTTTTAAGCCACAAAAATACTAGTAAGAGACCAAAGAGTCCGGTGCACCGTCTGCGCATCGTTATGCGTCATATACGCTAACAAGATTAGTGATTTATTACGGCACGCCAACCGAAGCTGTCTCGCGATAGCCTCAGCCACCGACGTTGTGTGAAAGGCAAGAAATAGGGGCGGAGCCGAAAAGAAGAAAAAAGCACCGGAAATATACAAACCAGACACTCAAGGCACCTAGAAAGGCAGCCAAATAACGTCATCTTGTAATGATGCTGCATGCACATTTCTACACTCGAGGCATTTTGACGTCTCATCTCACATGCAAATACGAGACACGACCTTGACGTCATATGACATGATTTATAACTGCATACTCTGCCAAAGTGCCATTCTCCCAAAATCCCCCTTCCCCCCCGTAGTGTAATTGGTTGTCTGAAAAGAACATCGCTGCCTTTTAAAGCTGACATGCAATAATAGTACATGTCTCTGCCTTTTTGAGGGGGAACCCTGCATTGCAAGGCACTTTGTTGATGAATTTCTGTAAAGCTGTCGCATACATGAGAAAGCCCTGTTGCAAGAAAATGGCTGCATGTAAAATTTTTATAAACTTCCAAATGAGTACATGGTCATGGCATCGTAACTCCAAACGCTTACTGTCATATTCCCTTTGCCCAACGTATTTTTCATTCCGCGCCAGCGTCGAGCTCATAGAATTTACATTGTCCACACTCCAAGGGCAAGCCCTCATGCTTTCCAATCACCACTTCGTGGCCAGATGTCCGTTCGCAGACGCAGTCGGCGAGCGAGCACTATCACGTTACACTCGACGTGCTTTAAGCCACTCGACTATCGGTGTCAATGAGCGTCTCATTTTCCGTCTTCACGTCAGAGTGCCCAACATGGCTCGGATAATAGCTGGAGGTGGTCCTACTCGGCATCTCGTCAGCCGCAAGCTCAGCCTAGCGATGGATGCAAGTTGCAAATAACGTGCGCACCTTCATCGATATTTTGGTACGCTGATGGACATCCTACCTTTCTTGTCCTTCTCAATCCGAGGAGGTTTAGGCCGGGCAACTGTCCTTTCAACTTCCTCTTCATAAACTACAAGCTGGCCGTCCGGCAGTCTTTCGGTTCGCACCACTTCACGCTCCACCTCTGCCCTTGGCCGGTGCACCAGTTCTCGTTCTAGTGCCTTGATCTCAGCGCGAATATCGCGGCGGGTCCGGGATCGGGATCGGGAACGGGAACGAGGCACGACTACAAGTGCACCATCATCATGGTGGTGGTGGTGTCTATGGTGATGAGTGTGACCCGAGTCCCAGCTACTAGAGCTTCGTGATGGCGATATTTCCCGAATGACAGTCTTGTCTACAATGTCGACGCGAGGACCTGCATCCACGATAACCGGAGCAGGGGGAGGGGGAGGAACCGGAACCGGGACCGGAGCCGGAGGCGGGACCACAATAGGGGCTGGAGGTGGTGCCGGAACAACCACCGGGGGAGGAGGCGGCGGGGCCTTTGTCTCGATGACCTTCTGCTTCCGAACCTCGATTCTCTCCTCGACTATGTCGCCAGCAGCAGAGCGGGCCGCGATAACCTCTTGATCAACTAGAAGCTTGATTAGCAAAAGAACCCCCCATCTGGAGTGCAAGAGCAAGATTGGCTAATACAATACCTTTGATGTATTCTTCACTCAATTTTAGTAGTTCATCGATATTGTCTTGGCCTAGAGCCTTTTGAACGATGATTGTATTTTCCTATCTTCATATCAGCACAAGCCTGACCCAGCCAAGCCAAAAAAACAAAGAAAGAAAACAATCTTACCTCTTCCACATAAGGGTACCCGAGATCAATAAGGGCTCTCTTGGAAACCAAACGGGCGGGAATCTTGGTTTTGCCTTTCTTCGGGTACTCGCTGCGAACTGTGGCTCCGCCGCCGCTGCTGGATGAGCTGCTCGAGGATCGTGAGCTGCTGCGGTGGGTGTGAGTTCGAGTACCCCTTGATTCTCGACTCCTATCCCTCCTATCACGCTCCCTAATGATTTCTCGCTCCCTAACACGCTCTGGCATAGGTCTATATTCGTCTTCCGGATAGTATTCCGACTCTGGACGATAGTCATAGTATCGATCATCCCGTCTTCCGGGAGGGGGAAGACCTCTGGCCTTTGGGAGAGGAATAGGCGTGTAAGGTGGGGCCCGGTATTCGTCCCTAAATATGTCTTCTCGTCTTGCAGGAGGGGGGTATTCCTCGCGCTGGTCGAAAATATTGCGAAGCGGACGTCGATCATAGGTATCCAAGGAAGACTGACGTCGGAGGAAAGCAGGTCTGCGCGGGGAAGAATCCCTATAGTACTCTCGGTCTCTTTCCTTCTCTATGACCATACGACGATCGAACTCTGGCTGACGGGCTGGCTCTCTTCTTGGCTCGTATCGGGGCTCATCGTCGTGGTATCGTCGGTCTCGCACAAAGTCGTCCTCATAGTATCGGCTGCGGTCGTAGCGATCCTCAGAACGCTCTCGGCCCCTGCCGCCCCTCATGTAGTATCTATCGTCCTCGAAACGATCGCGCTCCCAACGTTCACTACCCATGGTAAATTCGTTGGGTACAAACTCAGCACCTGGGCGTCTCTTTGTGGCTGTGCTTTGTAGTGCGAAACCAGGCGGGGGTGTTGGAGTTGAGGGTATAGCAGCACCAAGAGCGGTTGTAGGTTTTGTTCTTGGTTCTTCAAAGGGACGCAGAAGCGGCGAGATAAGTGCAGCTGTGTGTGTGGTATGGATCGAGATGGAAGAAAATTGCCGTTGCAGGTAGTAGGAAAGGATAGAGAGACGAAGCGGGCGTGGGAAGATACGACTTGTAATATGTGGGCTATGACGTTGACCGTCCAGGCCCCCCCGCTTGACAATGGGCTCAAATGGTGGACTGGCGTTTGACCAGCGTCGGGCTTCCCTGGCTGAAGGGAGGAGGGTCGTGGGCTCTTCCTTGGATCGAGTGGAGGTTGGGAAGGCGACGGCTGGATTGGATGTGAGCGGCAGCTGAGCGGCAGCTAAGCGACAGCCACCAACGCGTGACTCTGGGACGAAGCAGCTGGACCTTGTGGTCAAGGCACGTTGCAAGCGCAAGACGAGATCGAGCCTAGAATAACGGGACTGCAGTGCCGAATGACCGTGGAGGCGGCCTCGAGGCAGCAAATCGGCTCGGGAAAAGCGCACGTCAAAGAGGTCGAGTGTTCCAAGGGTTGCACGGCAGCACGGCTCAGCCGTCGCCTGGTTGGAGCGTCGTGATATATTTGTACATGCCGGCGAGAGTGGTGACAGTGTGGACGATGCCCAATACGAGCATCCCCTTCCATCTCCGAATGACCTCGCCAGCCCAAACATTCGAAGGCATCTGGCAGGCTCCGCTCTCCGCGAAACTGCGAGGCCGCGCATTGTCTGGTATCCGCTCTGGCCCAAGCCGTGGCCCAGTTGGGATCTTGTCTTGAAGCCCGAGGTGGATCTCGACCAAAGTATATCTTGCGTGTGTGGCAGACATTTGCAAGCAATGGCAGGGTTCCGGGGTGCAAAGAGCCTGCCACCTTGATTATTGTGTGCTCATGCATGCAGGCATTCGCATTGGGTTACCGGAGTGCATGTACTCTGTCCATACATACGGTATGGGCCGAGTACCTGCCGGCCAACGTCTTCCCCGTAATGGCTTTGTTCCAAGCCTGCTGTGCGAGGTGCGCTGCCATTTGAAAGAAACTCCAGACGCCTCGCACGGTCTTTGGCCATGTTTGCTTATAATAGAGTCCGAATCGATATCCTCAACATGTCCCGGGTGGCTTTAGAGTTTGCGGCGCGGGCCTTAGCAAATGAAACTCGGCATTGCTGCCCAGGTCTACGGAGTACCGTCTTTGCAGCCCAACCCCAAGAACGACTCGACTATTAAGTGGAGAGACGAGTCTGTTCAGCGCTCAATCATGTGTCGTTTTGCGGGCTTGCCGCTATCCATGTGTGAACGGGAGGTTCCGATGGGAGGCCAAGGCGTAATTTGGGCATATTCCAGCATTCCAAGTTCCAAACTTGGCTTCGTCAAAACCTCTCCACTTTGCGAGGATAAACCTTCCTTGACGAGCACGAATCTGAGTGCCGTTGTCGTGATTTTTTGAGCCCACTGGTGCCCAAGCAGCGCTTTGTCTCCGTCACAAAGAATGGCAGTTGCGCCCCTGCTTGATGACGAGACCCGAAGGAGGGCATGAAGACAGTGTGATACAGTGAGAAGCTGGATGTGACGGACGAGGCCTGGTCAATCGGGTTCGCCTTCTCCTTTCACTCACGCTACTCCGTACTCCGTATCACGACCTCATTTACTTAATCATTATTAATCGTTATATCCCCCCATCCGCGAAATGTTTCCCCTTTTGCTCCTGCGATACAAGTTCTCCTGTACTACGGGTACAGTGCAGGTGTACTGTATGTATCCACCCCATCGGGACTCAGTCGTAACTCTAGTTCGACAAACTCTTGATTTAATTCACAAATCCGAGAGTATAGAGAACATTTGCCGAGACGCAAGGAGCTGAGGACCTTACCCCATGTTCATTGACGCAACGTTGCCTTTCCTCAAATTTCACCAACGTTCTGTTGATCCACGCCGTCACTTTCACCCAACTAATACAAAGCGTGAACTCCATTAACTATTTCCCCTGCATTTCTACGTGCGTGATAATAGTATAAGCTCGTCAGTTTGTAGGTGTGGGTAAGTAAAAATAGCAACTATTTCGACGAGACCGAAGGAAAGAGGAGTGACGGTAAATCCCATTTTGCAAAAGGTAGAACTTGTTGCATCAATGAGGAATGTAAATTTACGACAGACAGTCGCGACGCGTTGGTGTCCTTGTGAATAAAAGAAGACTGCCGCCTAGTATATAATAATGCATGAAAGATATCGATAGCACAATGTATCGAAACCTCCCGTTTTCCAATGCTCCCTGTAAGTTCAAAACAACCACTGGCTACATCTTATTGACTGGGATGACAACACTGTAGCTCACGGTCAAGGGGTTTACCGAGGCGATTTTATAACATAAACTCGACCTTTCGGCTTGGTATGAGCAACCTGAGATCCGATCGAGAACACTTCAGTACTTGTCCGCGTTTTAAACCTGGTAGTATGCACCGTCTTGTTACAACTGGTTAGCTTATGCGGCCTTGGTCAATGGTCAGAGTCCGGCGTCGTTACAGAGACATTGCCGCCTCTTTTCTCGGGCTAATCCATTTTATGTCGCTTGACATCATCTATGAGGTAGGGAGGCAGGCCGTCATAACTTCGTCTCATTGCACTACAGTCATCGCACATTAGCACACGGAGTTGTTGTAATGGCACATTCAAGAAGTGTTGAGCTACTACCAGATCTCTGCACCTGACTGGTGGACATGGGCCGCAATGTGCGGCGCTTGGAGATGAACAAGTTTGAGGTTGCCAACGGGTAGTAGTTTAATTCGGTGTCTTACCCGTAGCTAGCATTTGGAATAATTCACCCACATCTCACACATGCATATGTTAAGAGGAGAGCGAGGTTGAACTGCCCATCGGGTGCTCCCTCAGAACGTGCCAACATGTCTCAAAACCTTGCCCCTGACAAGGGTCCTTTGGTCCATCAATCATTGTTCGTCTAGGGAATACTACGTACCGAGGCAATTGATCCATGCACCAATGCTCCGTATACTTTAGCAGTCGGGGATGAAGTCAATTTAATCGTGTTATATGGACCCTTGGGTCCTCGACCTGTACCATATCAGTTATCAACTTTTGGAAACTTATCGGTTAATCCTCGAGCGCTCCTTCCCCGTCGCCAATTGGCAATAGCCACCAGTCCAGAACCCCCATCTCCATGCACGTCTCCACGTCTGCACATCTGCACACTCGTTTCTGACCAACATTGAACCGAGCCATTTGGTGCAGTTCAAGCCAGACAAACCTTCAGTCATCTCCTAAGTGCCCCGTGCCCGCTGTGAAAGTGCCGGCGGATATTCTCTTCATTCATCAGCGGCAGCGCTAAGACCAAGCATTGACCTTTTATTTACTTCCGTTGCTGCGACACCCACGATCTAGCTTCAGCTGTCCAAACCACTGTCAATGTTGGCAAGATTCCCATTGGACGCGATACATGCCTCGCCTTGAATAACTCCTTGAATTGAAGCTCCCTACTCGTGGCTCTCTTCCGGCACATTCTCAGGCACGAATGGACGGCCCCAGAGACCGCCCAAGTGGCATTCCCCGCCTGTCTCGACTCCCTGTACCACGATCAAGCGTCCCGAAGACTGCCCCTTTGGCCTCAGCCTCGACCTCGACAACTACACCGGTTCGTCCCAAAGCTTCTAGAGACAGTCTTGGTGGAGGGGAGCTAAATCCGCCAAAATTGAGACCCGTTGCATCGCGAGATCAACTTCGCAACAGCGTAGGCGTTGTCGGCAACAGAGGCAGCCCATTGCGATCGGTATCCTCACGAGATCAGCTTCGCTCGAGCACACTTCAACCTATAAAGACCAAGCCGCAACTCAACCAGACTCAGAGAAAACCAAGGAGTCCAAGCTCTCAACAGCGAGCTAGTTCAACCACACCACAGCCTTTAGCCATTGATGTTTCTTCCAATGCCGCCAACGAAGACGAGTGGGATCATTCACCCACGCAAAACCCGCATGCTTCTAGCCCGAGCACCTTATCCGGCAATGCGGCTGAGCTTGGTGGTGAAGCCATTTTTCAGGGTGATTCACTGGACTGCGATCAGACAGCTTTCCACACTTTCCAGACTCCCAGCACTCGGAGGTCCAAGCCGGGGCCCTCCTTAGCAGAGCGCACTATGGAAACCCTGGCACAGATTCCGCCATCCCCAGCGTTGAGCAAAACTTCATCGTCGTTTTTCGACCAAGGGCGACCAAGATCACGAGCAGACGGGGGAAATTCTAGGCCGGGCTCCAGCTACAACTCTGATGGGTTTGGAAGAGCATCGTCCCGACAAGGAAGTCGACCGGGCTCTAGTGCTGGGCAAGATGACTCTTCTGCATTATTTCGTGCCTCTGTGAATCCGTTTAAAACCACTTTATCAGCCATCAGTGGCACTCCACGAAGGACTTCCGCTATTAGTGTTGCAAACACTCCACAGACCAGAGCGGCTTCGAACCGTGCTTTGCTTGTGTCTACGACCAAGTTGGGAAATACGGGTATATCGTATATACAAGACGCTGTGCGAAGCACTAGCCCTGAGAAGAAGATGTTCGAAAAAGGCTCCATCAGGTCCGGCTCCAAGTCGGTCGCTTCAAGATCAACGAAACCTCGAGCGTCGACTGCCGGTCTATTCAAAAAGCCTTCCCTCCCTTCAATGCCCAAGGCTGCAGGCGCTCCATCAGAATCTTGGGATGGTGCCATCCTTCCCTCATCATCCGTTTCAGGCCCCACGGACTCTGCACCCCTGACAAATCGAAAGTCTTCGGCAGCACTGCGAGAACAGATCGCCAAGGCCAAGGCAGCCAAGCGCGCTGCTGTAAGACAGGCATCTGAAAATCATGGATCAAACGGTCTACATACCACGTCATCAACTGTTACAAATGGCTTTGACCTGGAACATGATGACCCTTTCAATCTAAGCAAGGGAGAGAAACCGAGCGTTAAAGTATTGCAGCAACGAGTGACTTCTGCACGCACCACAGGCAGGTTGAATATCGCCGCTTTGGGATTGAAGGAAATTCCAGAAGAAGTCATGAAAATGTACGATCTGGAGAGCATCAGCAGTTATGGTGGCACCTGGGCGGAGAGCGTAGACCTTACGAGGCTCGTTGCAGCGGATAACGATATCGAGCGCTTAGACGACAACATCTTTCCAGACACGAGCCCAGAGGCATTCGACGAGCAAGAGGAAGGACAGGGCAGCATATTTGGTGGATTAGAGACGCTAGATATGCACGGAAACCTGCTTGCAGATGTTCCTGTTGGGTTTCGGCGTCTTGCGAACCTGACGTCGCTCAATCTTGTAAGTGCGACTGCTCTCCATACAAATGACCACCCTCTTGCTTACATTAGAGCAGTCTTCCAATAAGCTTGAAAACAGTAGTCTAGATATAATATCTCAAATCGGCTCTCTCCGAGACCTGAAACTGTCCAAAAACCAGTTGTCTGGCCCATTAAACTCGGCGTTGATGAAGTTGGGTTCCCTGGAGATGCTCGATGTTCACGGAAATAGCATCTCTGCTTTGCCTCCCGATATCGAGAATATGCAGCACCTCCGCATCCTGAATATGAATGAGAATAGACTAGAAAGTCTGCCTTTCGACAGTTTGTCAAAGCTTCCTTTGACAGAACTATCTGTGAGAAAGAACAAGCTTTCGGGTGTGCTCATTCAGCAGCCGGTTGAATCTCTCCCCTGCTTGCAAACCCTCGACGCCTCAGCAAACCAATTGACTCACCTGATACCTGTGGACACCGTCATCAGCCTCCCAGTAATTCATGCTATTTCATTATCGGTCAACAGGCTGCAATGCCTCCCAGATATGTCGACTTGGACAAATCTCCTAACATTAGCTGTTGATGAGAACCACATTGCCAACATCCCAGACAGTTTTATCGGCTTGCAAAAACTACGTCACGCAGATTTTGCTAGCAATGACGTACGGATAGTGCCACCAGAGATTGCCAGAATGCAAAGCCTCTCCATGATCCGGTTAACGGGCAATCCGTTAAGAGATCGCAAATTAATCTCGGCTGCAACGGACGAGCTGAAGGAGATCTTGGCTGGTCGCCTGGAGCCGCCACCTCCCTATCAAGAGCCTGGACACCCTACCACAATCACGGGCTTGATGGGTAGTCTTTCGGAAATCGATGACAGACTCAAGACGGTTGGCGATATGGACACATTCCCTCCCAGTAACGATGGGGATGTTCGATCTGACGTGGAAGACGACTTCACCACACCGCCCACTTCTGCCCCGCACACTCCGAATCGGTCACGATCACAGACAGTCGTGAAAGACGTCTGGTTCGTCAAGTCAGGAGGCTTGTTGGACTTGTCGAGATCCGATATGTCGTCTTTGAATCCCAATACCTGCTCCACGGTCGCTTCGCAGAATCAAGTGCGCCAAATCCAACTACATCATAACCCTATTGCCTCCATCCCAATTGCACTTGGCGCATTTGGCTCAACTTTATCGTTTCTATCTTTGGCATATGCACAAATAGCTGGCGACTCGTACCTAACAGAAACGCTTGACCTACCCGCTCTACGGGAACTGAGCCTATTGTCAAATCAAATCACAAGCTTGAACCCCGTGACAAAGTTCCTGAAGGCACCGAGCTTGGAGAAGATGGACGTCACTCTCAATCGCGTGACTTCGCTCCCTACGAGTTTGAAGCAAGCCTTTCCGCAGCTGTCCGTGCTATTAATGGCAAGCAATCAATTATCAGAGCTCGATCCCGAGTGGATTCGGGGGCTGAAGATCGTCGATGCCTCTAGCAATAATATTGGCCAGCTAACCCCCAGGCTTGGTCTCCTTGGTGGTGTCGACGGACTACAACGATTGGAGGTTGCCGGCAATCGATTTAGAGTGCCGAGGTGGACCATCCTTGAAAGGGGGACCGAGGCCACGCTGAGATGGTTACGAGAAAGACTTCCGACTGAAGAAATGGCCGCTTGGAGGGCGGCCAACGGTGAAGATAGCGGAGAAGATATAGACTAATTTACACACCAAAAAAAAGTACAATAGAGAAGCGTAAACATTGGAGATGGAGTCGACAATTACAGCGGATACCAGCAAGATAATATTAATATTTTGGACATTTTAAGACGCGAGTGCGTCGCTTGATAGGAAGTGCAAGTTTCTCGGGTCCCTTCCATAGCTGCTATCTATCTAGCAAGATGAGGGGAATAAAGAAAAGATGCACTGCGACGTTTGGGAGGATGACAGTGACAGCTCCGCCCTTCAACAGAGGATCAATCATTCAAACTTGTGAGTGTGAATGAGCATAAAAGAAGGGAAGCTCTTGCCTCTTGGCGTGCAAAGTTTGCTACAAGGTTCTGCTGCCACTGAATCAAGGGAAGGCGGTCGGAGGGTCGTGATTCACTCCATCTCTCGCCGTGCGATGGCAGTAGAGTTGTAATAATATTTTGCCTCTGGCCTTTATTTTTGAAATACGAATACACACCCACACAAGCAGCTTTTGGTTCTTCTATCCTTATCAACTCTTGCACCTTGCCGATCAAGAATAACCCCGGCTATGTACGCCAGCCCGACAACAGGCGAAGGGTCAACGCCAGTCCGGGGAATCACAGTTGGTAAACAAGTATTTCCAAGGCGCGAAATTTCTTCCTTCCAAATGGCTTCACGGTACGGCTTATGGGAAGTCCCCAACCCGGGGCACTCCTACGAACACCACAACATCGTCAAGGTCTTGATTCCCATATCCGTGGTTGGATGGCTGCTCTTCGGGGCGATATGCATCTTGTGCATCAATGGCCGCGGACGGGCCGGTCGATGGGTCCCGGAGTGGTATCTCGATTCCGAGGGAAAGCGCTGGGACAAGGCTGCCGTGGGAGCGTGGTGGCTCGCGGTTCTGTTTGGGTGGCCGTTGATTCTACCCGGCGTGGTTGTAGGGTGCCTGTCGAGGAAGCTGAGGATGTGGCGCGCGGAGAAGAAGCTGAAGACGCAGAAATCGGAGAAGGAGCTGGAGCCAGACGACAAGGTATGAGGTTATGAGATTGCTGGCTGCTCAAGGGACGACAGACGCGGGAGGTTCTTCTGGCGTGGTACTTTGTTCAGTCAGGTGCGTGGAGGAGATGAATGGATATTGACGGGCGCGCTGGTGGCCTTGGTTTCGCATGATGTATTTGCATTATATATACTAGGTTGAGAAGCACGAACAAGCAAGCTGCCTATGGTTCCCATTATCGTATGCCATGATACAAACTCCTGTGCATCTTGTCAGGTTAATGAATGCCAACTAGGGTTCGAGATACCCTGGGGTCGAGCACGGGAGGTGAAACGGCCTGATGGGATATGGCACTGGCCGGATTAGGTTTAGCCCTCATGTGACTTCTAGCACGTACCCTATCAATTCTGTCTCCGAGCAACCACATCTGGGGGAAGGCCGACATCTGGATGCAGGCGGCCAGAGGCCAGAGCATGGGCCCCAGCTCAAGGCTGAGCCTGATTCAATGTTGCACCAGAGCCATCCGCCGCTTGCAACCAAGCTCTCGATCGACCTCACTCACGCACACCCTCTCTCGATCCATCATTGCTACCTCTACACATCACCACCGCCAACTGTCACCACCGCCAAACAGTCCAATTTATCTTGCACTGCTCGAATCACGGCCGCTGTTGGCTCTGCAACGCCTGTGCTGGGTTTATGCGAAGCTGGGCTCCGCTGTCAGGCTGCATGCGTTGGGCAGGCCAAGCACAAAAGAAGCCCAAGTTCTTGCTGCCCCACGGTGAAGCGCGAACCGAACAGGCACAGCAAACATTCAATCACTGCATTGTCTCCCCTACAACTACGAGCCGCCGCCTACTAAGAAGTTTCCTGGCAGCCTTTTACCTCTCGCGCACGAAGTAGTTCACCATGGCTTCCCAGGCTGAGCTGGCTGCTCGCCAATCCAACGCGGATGTCGCCAGTCCAATTGAGCCATCTACGCCTGAGGAGGTTGGGCCTCTGCCCGTGTCGTCACAAGTCACTCTGCCCTCAACCGAGATACCTGGATCGCCAATCGACCCTGATCAATCCTTCAAGACCGAGGCCAATGATGAACAAGCAGCTGCCATGGTGATTCCTTCGTCCCTGACCCCTCCGCCATCCACCCAGGTCGCTGCCCACAGCAATGCGAGACGAACATTTTCACAGTCGCAGCAATCTGCGCCTTACTCACCGCCCGCTACTATCCTCAACAATGTCCGTGACCGAGAAGTTGGCACCGATTATGCCCCGCCGTCCCCTGACCAGGTCCTGGAGGCTCCGGCCGATGAGCTGAGAAGCATGCTTCAGACGTGCATCGCCGAACAGCAGAAGCTAAAGATGGAAACGGCGCACCACAAGTTGCAGTATAACTTGCTGAGACTTCAAGCGGAGGATGATGCCAAACGTGCGGCCGTAGAGCACGAAATGATCCGGAGGGAGGTGGATGCATTACGAATGGCAGAACACTCTCGTCAGGCGAGGCGAGAGCTCAGCACAGCGTCTGATTCTACACAAGCCAAGTATCTGCAGATGAAGATGTGGTATGAGGCTGCCATGGAGGAGAACGAGACCCTGACCCGTCGGCTCAAGGTTGCCAAGAAGGTTATCCAGCAGAAGGAGGAGGAGACTATGTGTTTGACAGAGGAGAGGGACCTCCTTCTGACTCGTATCCGAGAGAACAGGGAGCATTTCCACATGCTGTGCAGTCCTGGTGGGATATTTCACAGCGCTCTGACCCCGAAACAGCAATATATTTCGACGCCTCAACAACAGCATCGCACACCGCATGGAGGTCCGCACCAGACGCCGCGATCTTCACAACGGGGTGGTGATACCGAGGGCCGTGAACATGGTCTCTCCGCCTTGCTGCAAGCCATGAGCCAGAGTCAGGACAACAACAGCGCTCCATCCACACCAATGACGTCTCACCGAGCCGTGCAGAAACACTCTGGGAGGCATAACCGCAATGCGCAGTCCCTGTCATCGCTGCCGACCACGCCTGTCAGCCGATCTCGAGACGGCGGCTTGTTGCCATCGGCTGATTTGGTGCCGCAAACCGAGCCTCGGCATCGCCATGTTGAGCAGCAAGTTGTGCCGACGACACCGAACCCCAAGCTGGATCGACGACGAAAAAGTCGAGAGAGCACCATCTCAGCCGACGACAATGAAGAACTGGCAAGGCAAGCGTTGGAATCGGTCGAGGCAATGCATTCGTTCACGTCCCAGGGATCCAAATCTGCACCACAGGGGTCACGTCAACGACGCAGGGCGGATGAGGCCGACGAGGAGGAGGAAGTATTTGACAGCCAGGCGAGCCAAGCGGCAACGGAGATGCTGCGGCGCCACCCAGGTCGAAGCTTCGGAGTGGCCCCTTCGGCAGGGTCTCGGGACGCATCTCCCGGGCCGGGACAGGGGCCTGTTGAGCAATCAGCCAAGTTGCAAGCTAGGCTCCTGTCAAGTTCCAGGGGCGGAGGGGGCGCGAAGGACAAGCGCAAGTTTAGCGGGAATGCATTGGCGGTAGACGATTCAAGGCGTGAGCACGGGAGCCCTCCGAAGAAGCTGAGAGCTGGCTCGATGACGGAGGAGCAGCGAGTGGGTCTCGGAATTCAATACAGCAGATGATTATGTATAATGAGGTGATGTTGGCTGGCAACGAGGGACCATTATGAAACGTACGGCATGAGGGCAATAGCGGGTGTATTTGGTACTGTAAAACTGATCTAGCTGAGTAGGTACCTTCAATACGGCACATTCCGGGATTTGGACATTAGCTTGATATGCATACACAGGTACCCTGGATGGTACCTAGGTACTTGTCCAATAACGAGAGCTGCGTGCGTGCGCTTCCACTGCTTCGGATAGCCCAGATGGATTACGAAGCAACACGCATGCATGGAAGCCGGACCAGACCCATATATTTTTGCGGTGCACATGTGGGCAGTCTGTGAGATCAGACCAGCCGGCAACACATTCCCAGTGACGGCTCCAGGGGTTCATGGCCGCCCCACAGTGCCCATCGGCTCGGGACTGTGTTCAAGTGACACCGGAACTTGACGACGGCAACTTGGGACGGCACGGAAGAGCCCTTAGCCGCCACTCCGCCATCCGGGTGTAGATTTCCGACGGCGGGCTGTTTCTATCCATGCGCGCCATCTCGTCTCACGTCTGACTTTGATTTCATTTTTCGACTCTTGTCTTGTATTTTTTTTTTTGCGGCTGTTTTGCATGATACCCTGCGCCGATCACCTACTTGTACAACCAAAGACACAAAGAGAGATACGAAGCATAGAGACACAGACACGATGGCAAGCCCCCGAGGCGTGGCCAACATCCTCGCCAAGTCGCCGGCCGACGTGGTCATCCTCTCGTCGGTCCGCACACCCGTCACGCGCGCCTACAAGGGCGGCCTCAAGGACGCGTACCCGGAGGAGCTGCTCGCGTGCGTGCTCAAGCATGTGCGGGAGCGCAGCGTGCCGGGGACGGACCTGGGCGCGCTGATCGAGGACGTGGGCGTGGGCGTGGTGCTCTCGGAGCTGGGGGGCTCCAAGGCGGCGCGCGCGGCCATGAACCACGTCGGGTACCCGAGCTCGACGGCCCTCTTCACCGTCAACCGGGCGTGCTCGTCGTCGCTGCAGGCCGTGGCCGCCGTGGCCGGCGAGATCCGGGGCGGCATGGCGCGCGTCGCCGTCGCCGCGGGCATGGAGAGCATGACGCGCAACTACGCGGCCAAGGTCGGCGCCGAGCAGCGCCTCACCGTCGCCAGGGACGACGGCATCCGCGAAAACGTCTCCGTCGAGGCGCTCGCCCGCCTGAAGCCCGCCTTCAAGCCGGGCGGCGCCTCGACCGCCGGCAACTCGAGCCAGGTCTCGGACGGCGCCGCCGCGACGCTGCTCATGAGCAGGGGCACCGCCACGCGCCTCGGCCTGTCGGACCGTATTATCGGCAAGTTTGTGTCCGCGGCCGTCGTCGGCTGCGCCCCCGACGAGATGGGCATCGGGCCCGCCCTCGCCATCCCCAAGCTGCTGGCGTCGCATGGCCTGGCCGTCGGCGACGTGGACAGGTGGGAGATCAACGAGGCCTTTGCAAGCCAGGCGCTTTATTGTTTGAGAAAGCTGGGCCTGGAGGACGCCTGGGCCGCCGGCAGGGTGAATCCGACCGGTGGTGCTATCGCCTTGGGTCATCCCCTCGGGGCCACGGGCGCCAGGATGACGAGTACCTTGGTGCATGGCATGAGGCGGGATGGTCACGATTTGGGCGTTGTGAGTATGTGTGTTGGGACCGGCATGGGCATGGCTGGCCTGTTTGCGAGGGAGGCGTGAGTGGAACATGAAGGGGTTTTGGAGGATTGTGTTATGCCGTTTGATATACATATTTTATTTTGGCAGGGTTTGCCGTACTTGGGCTTGTGAAAATAGGAAAGCATTATGACACATTTTATACAAGTATACACCACCACCAATAATGGGTCTCAGGGTGACTGATTATGTTGGGTGGATTATGACGGGCTCTACGAGCCTGCTTCTATTACCAGATACCAACTTGGGTGTCAAGCTGAATCAATGCCAACGCACTGCGTCGTACGCGTCACCATACTCCTCGGCGTTATGCCACCGTGCTCGATGCTCAGCCTTCTTGGTTGTTCAGCACGCCTGAATCCACAAACCAATCCACTGCCATCACGATCAACGCCCCTTCCTTCCACGACGCCAAGCTTATCCACGCCGAGCTGAGCAAGGCTCTTGCCCACGCGGTTATAGTCGCCGAAGAAATAGTGGGCGCGCGTGTCGTTGCCTGCTGTGAGACCATGGCCAAGTGTCACACCCCAAATCCCAGCTACCCGAAGAGCGTGAGACTGTGAATTTCTGTCCCGTTGGAGCATGACGGAATACACTGATCCCGTATATCGAACCGTTCCATCCGCAAGGAATGCCGGGAAACCCCAAGCTTTGCCATTTGCGGAAATCGGATGCCACGGCGTAACAAGGAGGTTTCCGACATGGCAAAGAGTCTCTTCTTGGACCGCAGTCTTCAACACCATGGCCACCTTACGGGTGCCCGTTGGCGTACGAACCTTCATTCCCCGACGCAGTCGTCGGATGTGAACCATTCTTCCGGATCCGAGTTCCACTGGCGTCGAGCCTGCGAAACATACGCCAGAGGCGTTTCTATATCGGCTCATTTCGACGGGGGCGTTGTGACCCCAAGAGCCTGAGTGGCCGCCATACCTTCTGTCACTAGTAGGTTCTGGAGGAGGCAGGTCGTCAAAGGCCGAGTTTAGACGATCTCGACACTCGGTGAACAGAAGGCTGTCAGCGCCGTATTGCAACGGTCCTGGATCTTTAAAGGAATTACATATTTGCCGAGAGTGGGCGTTGTAGTAGGATGGTAGGTAGTGAACGCCCCATTTCTGGAGGAATTTGATGTTGTTGATAGCCAGAGAGATCTGACCTTGAGGCTCTGGGCCATTGAGGTCTTGCATCAGCGACATGTTCTTCTCGTCAGCAAAGTCTTTAGCGGGAATTTCGGTAACCAGACTGCGCAGCTGTTTCTTGTACGTTTCATGTTTGCTCAAGTTGGGCCGGTGTTCGAAGTCAGGGCCAAGGGGAAAGATTGACGATAAGAAGCTACATATTTCAGCTCTCGATTCGTGGTAGGCGATTTCAGCATCGGGCATAATTGATGCCTCAAGGACGCTGGCCCTACAGGCGATGGTAACAGGTGCACCAACCATGTTCGATCCGTAGATATTTGCCGGCCTGTAGGAGAGAGTAGCAGATACGACGAGGGAGTGACAACTCGCTGCGTCTGTACCATTTTCGCCTGGTGATTCACTGATACGGAGGAATACGTCTCGAGATTGGCCGAATTGAAGGCTGCCCAAGGGGATTTGCAAAGCCATTTGCCTGCTGCTTTGTGGCCCTACCTCCTCCGGTAGCTGCTTAACCACAGTCTGTGCACCAACTTCATGTAATTCCATGGATTTGGGATACGTCAACGTCAATGCGGCTGCAGTGGCGAATGTTGCCTGCAGATTTGCAACTGCGTGGACAAACACTGTGCCTATCATGCCAGCATCGGGGATGAATGCGTAATTACCGTGGCCATATTCAGCCAGAGACTTCAAAAGACCTGATCTCAGGCCATATCCAAACCCAAAGGTATGAATCGCCGCAGGGAGGCGTGGTAGTGTCTTGAGTTTAGGGATATAACCCTGTTGAGGACACCTATCCACAGAGTTGGATGAATGTTCACTCTGAGCTCATGAGCGCAAAGGGGAAACTCACATGTGATTGGGCATTCCATCTGTTAGCACCATCATAGCACGGATATTTCCATTCTCTGCCGACTGTTCGAATATCTGGATCCCATCCCGAATACCGTGCCACAAATTCGTGCTCCCATTAGGATCAAGGGCCTTTATTTTCCTCCGAGCCTCGTCTTTGTTGCTGATGTCCATGTGTGTGAGAGTTTGCACAATGGTGGAATTTGTGGCGAAGCTAACTATTCCCAGTCGATCACTATCGTTTAACGTTTCGATAATGGTCAGAGCGGCATGTTTGGTCAAATCCAACACCGTGAGACCCGTTCTCTCCGTTTCTCCCGGCACAGGAGCATCATCCTCCATGCTGGTGGACACGTCAAGAACCAGGACGATGTCGCAAGGAACATGTTCGATTTGGGCTGCTGGCGCTCGGGGAGGGACGACTTTGACAACAAGTGACCGCTTTGACGGGATGGGATGTAATTGAAGCGCTACAGGACCTGGGCCAACATCATCTGCTTGCCTAACGTTTCGGATCGGGACTCTCTGTTTTGGCATATCAGTTTTGACTTGAGGAGTTTACAGACTCCCATAATAGGTCAGAACGTTACACACCATGGCGATGCTTTATGTGAAAAGCATATAAGAACCAAGAGTTTGTTATACACGAGATGGTTTCCAAGGTTCACGTCCTGAGTTTCTCCCTGGTGACTAGTTGAGGAAAAGTGTAGTCAATCAAGAGGAGATTGGGGTGCAAAGGGAAGATGACTATGGAATTATTGTCCCAACATGGAGGGCTTCTTATACGCCAAGACCTTTGGAAGCGATTACCAGGGCTAGTCTCCACAGACCTAGTTCATGATATATTTTCTCAGAATACGCCTGTGCAAAGCGCAGCGTCAGCTTTCCTGACTCGAGGAAAGGCCACATCACGGGTGCTTAGTTGTATGCTATCCTCCGTGGCGTACTGGGCGTTTTAACTTGGGCAACGTCTCTTTTCTCCAGACAAGGTGGAAAACGATATGTTGGTGAGGCTCACTATTGCTGTGCGCACAACCTGACACATTTTCATTTGCTTCGACAGACCGTGGCGGGCCTTGGCACCGTGGCTGGGCGTCCGAAAGGCCTCTGATGGACCGGAGAGCTGAATCTCCGGCGGTAAACATTGTGCGAATTGCCCAAAGGGCTCTATCCAAGGTCCATCGATGTTCGAGATTGGCAGAGAGATTGCGTAGTGGTCTCTCAGGCAGACTTCAAGGCTTCCTAGGCTGAAGACGAGGCATGACAGCCGAGCAGCTATGGAGTTGTGGCATTGCGGGGTGCCAGGACTCAGCCTTCAGTCACACGTCACCACATTGCCGTTGCCTCTCGCTTCACATAACGGATTGTGCAAAGCCTGGAGATGGCGGTGCGAACTGCATAAAATCTAAGAGAAGCATCGAAATGGGAATGGCCGATGATTAGGTCGAAGGAATTGCCAACGCCAGGAGAGCTTACCCCGTGATGGCTGGTTGTTGTCGCGCCCTGGAGAGCCTCACTCCGCTTTTTATCGAGACGCGGTATTAGGCAAGCAGACAAAATCGCTTACGATGCATCGTCTATTCGCATGGAATCCACGGGGTGGCTATCCAAGCTGGACAAGTTCAAAAATAGATGTCGTCAAAGCAATTTTGTGATGAATGTATGATCAGTTGATGTTCATCTGGGCCATGTTCCTTGCTCAGGTACTCCGTACCCAGGTACTATGTACTTGGACAGTAGGCAGGCCACTGGGCAGGCAGGCAGTGCAGAGCTCCTGTCGCCAAAAATACCAACCGGACAAGGCTCGACATTATGAGCATCATCCTTGATGTCTTCGTCACTCCTCCGCACGTCTCTCGTAGTTTCGACAGACTGTGAAAAGCTCCCAATATGTACGCATGTCCTCCGACGGTTCCCAAGGCTGATGGCTTTAGAATTACATCGGGCGAACCAAGATGGCCCGAGTCTGTCCCCCACACATCTCCAGTTTCCGCTCTGGGGTCCAGAATCGAAAGACCCGGCCCATGACAAATTCCCAGTCCGCCCGTCCGCAGTCTTCACAACGCCATCAATGAAAATAGCGTCAGCTAGGTACTACTGGACTAGAGATCGGATGGCGGTGGTTTCCAACGCAGCCGAGCTCTTACAAGAACTGCAGCCTCAAAGAGCGCCACGCAGCTACTATACTACCACTAGGAAATCGAGATACCCTCCTCCATGTTTTCCTCTCCTGGGATTGGATCTGGGTCGGTCGGATCAACAGCCGGCTAACCCCTCCATCTGACTACTCAATTGCATTGCCGCGGACTCGTCGAATGGCAGGCGTCAATTCCCGTCGGCTCCTACAGGCTTTTGCCAACGATCTGCCCACGCTATGGAGATCTAAACTTCTCCCCACCAAAGACATGACTATCGAGGACGCTGACATTTCTTATGACGGGCAGCTAGACGAATGCGGAAGTGGGTGACCGACGCATAAAGGCTAAGGAAAAGATTATCGTCACGGCACATGTCAATCCTTCTGCCCTGGACCATGAACACTCTCTCCACCTCGGTGAGATCCCCATCCGTGCGCCAACGTCCTACTCCGTACCCTCTGAGCAGACGGCCAACTCCGAGCAGACCCCGGTAAATCTTTGCGGGGAATAGATGACAAACAAAGGCGGAACTTGTCACTAACTGTATGTATTAAGGATGAGGCGACTGGACATGACGGCGACATGTCATGTTCTTGTCTGCAGCAGCACACCCATTCTCGGTCTCGTTTTCTGGGCATTATCCGGATGTGATGGCTACGATGGGCCTGGATTCTGCCGTACCCCGCAGAAAAGTCCAGATTGGAGACGGCTTTGGAGATTGACACCAAAAATTCAAAAGCTGGAAAACTCTCAGCTAGCTCCTTGCACATGTTCGTCCTGCCAAGTCCAGCCAGATGCACAGTTCCCCTCAAGTCCCTTGTGGGTCAGTGGCGTCATTAGTGCTGCATTCCGTACCATTGGGCTGCCTGACGCCGCCGGGTACTGGGCTATCCAAAGGGATACCAGGTCGAGTCGCCTCAAGTGCTCCTTGCGGGCTGTGAGCAGATGCAGGACGAAGGCACTCGGCTGGGGTGTTGTTTCAGCCAAGTCGAGATGCACTCCAGACTCCAGAGCTAAGTGAGACGATGACGGCACAGGGACTTGAGTGGGCAGTCGTACGATGTGTGCTCGGCTTTTTTCAACACTCCCCTGACGAACCACGGCTCTGGGGGAAAGCGAGATGAAACGAAGAAGAATCGGAACGGCCAGGTCGTGTGAGAAACATCACACTCAACGTTCGAATCGCGTGAGCAACAGTATGACGAGGAGGGTCCAGACATCCGGAACATCAGACTGAAGCTCCCCACGTCCTGAGTCGTAACTTATTTTGCCACCAGGGCGGACGAGGAGCAGGTGCTCGTTGCAGGCCGCGTTGCTCCGATATCCGGACCAAAAAGGGCGGGCGCACAAACGAGCAGAGGCAGACCATGGTGGTTCAATCAAATGAGTGCGTCGCCTCGCACTCACACCAGAATCATCACACCGGCGCCGACTTACACGCTTCACTGGCACACCCGCAAGCAGGGCACCCATGTTCAATGCTCCCCAGTCCCAGGGCTTTTGCAAGCTGCCGGGCTTTGGCTGCAAGATTGTCTCCCGACGCACATGGAGCCTCCACTAGCCAACAGCCCCGTTCGCGGCACGCAGCCAACCAGGACGGCTTGGTGTGCTCATGACAGACGGAAATGCGTCATGGCATTTCATTTTGCCTTTATCGCAGCCCTGTCAAGGTCCGTGGTACGTAGTACCTGCTTGTAGCACCAAAGGCAGCGGCTGCACCTCCAGCTCCACAACTCGACGATGGACGATGGTCCGGCCTGCTCTTGGTGTTTTTGTCAGACTTCCCGCGACGCTTGTCCACGGTCTATTTCCTGCCATCCTCACTGGTCACCTTTAGTGTCTATACGCCTCAAGTTTCCTCTCGCCCCGCTCGCCTCGACAGAGTGTGACGTCGAAGCCTTGGAGTTGAATCAAAAAAGCTTCTGCCTCGAGAGAATTTCCGTGCGGTTGAGGCACCCACCACCACCACCCACTCTCGCACACAAAAACGTGGGCTAGGGGATCCCCGACCCCCCTCTCTTCGGGTCCGTCCTGCTTTTGTTATATGTACATATGTGACTCCTTCTTTCCCCGAGAAGTTAAAAAGAGCTTCATGCCCTCCTGTCATATTTTTACTTCTTCTCCCTCTTCTCTATCTGATTTGGTCTCTCCACTCGATATAATAAAGCCATCTCCTGAACTATCGAACACACTACAAACATCCATCTCAACCACTTCGGCCTCTCTCTCTCAAACAAAGCGGAAAGTTAGTCCGTCTCCCACAGCAAAAAAAAAAAAAATCCACCAAAGTTTATCAAAATGCCCGCCTACGAGTACTGCTGCAACTGCGGTGGCATGATTGTCATTAGCACCACCTGCAGCGCCTGCGGCCACAAGCAATGCAACAACTGCCCTGCTTCGTAAGGCGTAGGCGTTGACCTTTCGTCCCTCAAGAGTCCATTCCACCAAGACGAGCCTGCTCCTGTCGCTCATACATGGCAGGCGATCCGAGCCCAAGGTCCCATCTATGCTTGAGACTCTTTGCCCACGGGACACAACACGAACATGTTTCTTCTCAGCAATGTATTATGGCTCCTAGGGAATTTGATGAATTTCGCCGCGTTTGATATCCAGCTCACTTTTTTTTTCTGTTACCAAAGCCGATATCCAAGGCTGCGATACCCCCCCTCATCATAACCAAGCAACCGCGGTTTTGTTACGTCCTCCAGAGCGACTTTGTTTCACAACTTTATTATTCTTTTCTACGCCTCGTCTTTACTACATGTAACACCAGTATGGGGGGTTGCGGAATACGAAAGAGCAGGCGTTTGAGCATGGTAGGGGATGGAACAAGTGTTCCTATGTTCTCGCTTACAAGCAACAATGTTGACGGCGCTCCTTGCATCAGCAAGCGATTGGCAGGGAAAGAGGCGTTTTGCCAGTGAAGGTGTTGGATTTACAACGTTGCACTTGAAGTCTGTATTCTCTCTATTTTTTTTCCTCTGTCGGTTTTCGGCGCTGGGCACGCAAACGGGTCGCGGGACTTGTTTTGGATGATTTGTTCCATTTGTCAATGTCGACATGTACGACAAATGACCAACCGACGGAATTCCGAAGTAACTTGGTGTGTCGTCCAATGTTCTTAGTTAGAGTCAGGCAGGAAGAAAAAGAAAAGTTTTAATCCCTCAGATGATTAGACCCGGGTGATTGTTGCCCGTGCCGTGTCCCACGTAGTAGGTGGTATTCTGTTTTCAACCATCATCCTTCACTTGTACAGTTCCACACCATGACGGAAGCCTTGCGCAAACCACAATTTATGCTCACATACACAAACACGTACATAGTCCTCAAGCTTAATAGTCTCTCACCATGGTGATGGCCTGGCCCTCGGCCTCCCTCTGCTTCACCCGAAACCCCTGCTTCTCATAAAACGGCACAACCTTTGCATTGGACAAGCCGACGCCAATCCAGATGCCCTTGCACGCGGCCGCGCCATCCGCCATCCCAACCGGCCTCACGCTCTCGACAAAGGCCTCAATCAACCTCCTCCCCCACCCCTTGCCCTGCCACTCGCCCAGCAGGTCAATGTGCATGGTGGCCCTATAGCCCTCGGCCAGGAGACGCTCGTTGCCGTCCACCAGCAGCCAGTGGCCCGAGTAGGCCGTCTGCGCCAGCGCATCCTCGCAGAACCGCCCGTCGACCACCCAGTCCAGCCTGCGCGACGCGTCGACGCCGTCCGCCGGCGGGCCAATCTCCCCCGACGGCTCCAGCACGCCCGCCACGTACGCGTCGTACCCGGCCGCCAGGGCCTCCGCGTCCGCGCACCCGATGCAGTAGCCCACCGCGCGCCCGCCGCCGTCGTCCAGCACGAAGCACGTCCCCGGCGAGAGGTGCGTGTACGGGTGTGTCCAGATGTACGGCGCCAGGCGACGCAGGAGCTGGGACGTCGACACGTCCGCTGGCAGTGTTTCGCGGCACTAACATACCATGTGCCCGGTTAGTCCGCCTTTTGGGGGAGGTATATATATACGGTGCGGTTGCGGGACATACAATGTGTGCGGTGGCCGCAAAGTCAGACGCCCGGTACCGTCTTATAAATGCCATTCTTCTCGTTTCCGAAAAAAAGAAGGAAAGAAGAAGAAGAAGAGACTATGCTGCTCTGGCGATTTGAAACAGCTCAATGGCCGTTCTAGACAAGCTCCCGCTTGGATACTTGAGCAGCAAGCAAAGACAGAGGAAAGAAAAACTATTGACCAGACAGACAGTCCAATGGCCAGTCCCCCAGCTACTTACCTAGGTACTTAAGTAAGTTCCTTACTCTTGTGGCATGTATGTAGTACTCTGTAACCTGCCCCCAATTCCGCCTCCCCACGCTTCACTTACATAAAGTACACTTGGACAACATGATTGATTGATCCATCCACTCCAAACCCCCACGTTGCAACCCGTCGATTGTAATGCATGTACAATCCAACTAAAAAGACAACATTACACCCATGACGGATCTGGCCGAGGTCTCTGCCCCCCTCCACAAGTACCGAGTAAGTTACAATCACTACATTTCAAGTTCCTCGTGACAGGCAACACGCGGCAAATACAGCCAACGAACGAATTGGACAGCACGACAGACGTCTTCAGTAGATAACTGAACCCGACCTCAGCGTCCTACTATAAATATCTAACCTGTCTCGGCTCCATCACATCTCAGTCTTCATCATGGTCACATTCCAAATCCGCTTTTGCATGGTGCGCATGGCCCCTGTCTGTACATGTCCGAGATGCAGTACCAGTTTGCCTGCCCCAAACACCAACAGTCGTCGTCCTCGTTTTCACGGCCTCATCGCAGCCCCAACTGCATCCTTCCATCAAATTTTATCAATTGCTTATATGTGTACATATATGGGTTTTGCTTAATACACCAGGACTGTCCATCTTATTGTTTTCCTTACCCCCATAGGATCTTTATATGCGACTCGCAATATCCTCAAGTTAAATGTTGCGCCTTGTCCATTCTTCAAAGACCTTCCTGTTTTGTTCTTCCATTGCTGGGGCATTTTCCGACACCAGGAGAGTAGATCAAATACCAGCCTGATCCTCTAATTGCAGAAGACGTCCTGGTCGTTAAGATGCAACAGACGTCTCCAGAAAACAACAAAAAAAAATCGACAACGCAAGGGAAAAACACACAATTCACGTGGAATAAATATTTGAGACAAGAATTGAAGGTACATAGATAGAAAAGAAAGTAGAAGCAAAGAGAGGGCCAGATTCGGTCGCAAGACATTCGCTGTGTGCCGTTCATACATGCCTTCGTCCGAGTTGGGCTAAAACAAAATGAAAAAAGGCCGTCATTCGTATTACAAAGATTTTGTCCTGATAAGAGTTTGAACTCGAGATGGTCATGTACGTGACTCCTATAGCCGATGAACCTGGTATACATTTGTTATGTCGGAGTCATTGAAAATGCCACCGTTCAGGAGTAATAAATATATCAAAGAAGAGGAAGGAGAAGCAGTGTGGCGGAGAACAGGGTAGTTGCCCGAGTCGATTAATCAAGGTGATCAAATCATGCCTCCTGGTAGGCCGGCGCTCGGCATGGCAGAGTGTGGTATAGCTGGCCGGACCACTCTAGGAGGACTTTGTCGACTTTGGTGTGGATTCATGGGCATTCGGCCTCTGTAAGGCTCGGCAATAATATCTTTCTCTCCCACTCCGAAAACTCTGTTAGGAACATGATGCCCTAGGTTTTCGTCACTCGGTCTCGGAAAGATATTCTTGCGGCGAGGGTTAATAGGTGGCAAAGGCGGTGCTCCAGGGCCGCCGTGCAAGTTTGGAGTCGATGCCGCAGCGCCGAGCAAGCTGCCGTTGCGGCTTCTTGTAAATGCATGCACATCTGGTTGCTGAGGGGACTGCATGACTGGGAAGTGCTGCCTCCCGGGGGCTTCAAATCCGCCGACGCTATGGCTCGGACTCATAACTGGAGAAGGTCCAGTAGACATGTACGGAGACATACCAGAAGTCTCCATGGGCTGGCGTCTAATTTCTGGTCCAGGCGAGCCACTGAGCCCTCGCCGGCCATAGTGGTCCTCGTAGGTTGCAGCGCCGTTACGAAGCCCTGGGCCCCGACTATACGCGCGTCCACTGTTGCTGGTTTCAGAACCACTTCGGTCTCGCTCAGAGGCCGCCCGGGAACCGGCTCGAGATCGACTTCTATAGCTTTCGCCGTCTCGTGGATCTCGTGGCATGCGGTTGAAAATTGCAGGTGGTGGACCATTCTCGTATGACGTGATCCGGCTGTTAGGAGGAGGACGCTCCGGGTTGGGACTTGGCTTCTGTGAATGCCGCTGTTGTGTTTCCAGTTCTTTCATTTTCTGTAGTTCCCGGCGAGCTTGGCGGAAGGCTTTCAAGCCTACGTGAACATTTTCCTCCTTTCCAGGCAGTGCTGGCTCATTTGACTGGACAGAAACCTCACCGTTTCGTGGTTCCCCTCGGCTGCTCGAAGCCTTCCTTGGGGACGGTGATGTGGCGACTCGGCTGGGCTGGGGGCTGGGAGACTTGAGCGTCTTGCTGCGGCCACGCTCCTTATCGGACCTGTCCAGAAGCGATCCCCGGCTTGATTTTGACCGCAACATACCAAGACTGCCGGACTTGGACGCGCCCAGGTCCTTGTTGTGTTCTGGTTGAGGGGGGGTCGGCGGCGCGGAACGCTCATTATCCGATTCGACGTATGATGTCAGTCGTTCACGAACACGTTGAGCACGCTCGGCTAGATTTTGAGCAAATTCATCCTGCTCTACTGCGTTTGCAACGTCCGAAACACCATCATCATCCCTTACGGAGACGGCTTTGGTCTCTGTGACGCTCGGTTCTACTTCGTGGCTCGTCGAACCATACACAGACGAGGCGGTACTATCGTGTCGCAGGTGTTGTCGGACCATACCACTTAGACCTGCGTTGGGGCCCAATGTGGGAGAATCTTCCGGTGGTTCCGTCTTCGGTGCCGGTGAGAGAGAACCCCCATGCTCAGAGTCTTTGGGCGATGTCAACGATAAAGGAGTGGGAAGGGCAGATTTACGGAAAGCTGGATGGTCGTGATCACTTGGACGGTCAATTTTCAGCTGGGGGGCAGCAGAGGCTCGGATGTTCATGGACCCGTCGTCACTATCATCGAAGAATGTGCTGCCGCAGTTCTCGTTGAGTGTGGAGGTCTCAGAAGATGCAGCCTTTGGGGCGGACTTCTCTACTGACGGTCGCTGGGCGGATGATGACCGAGACCTGCCTGCCACAGAAGAGCCTGCTGACGCTGTAGTGTGTCGAGAGGTAGACGAGTCTCGTCCCTGCTGGAGTTGACGCTGTCGCTGTGTATACCGTGACTCATCATACTGCATTGCTGGTCGAGTGAAGACGCCCATTGCCGTCGCCTTACCACGATCATTGGGCTGGATAGCAAGAGGTGGATGCTCCTCGGTTTCACTAATGGGTGGGCTCAGGGGAGGGTTCCCCCCAAAAATAGGCTTTGTTTCTTGCCTCGGGAATTTGCTGCTTGAGTCGACAGGGCTCATTTGAGAGGAACTCATCGTAGAAGGGCTAAATGACCGTAGATTGGGTGCGCTCGCCTTGGACACGATAGGTCGACGGTCTGATACACGGTCGCCAAATGTTGCGATCGTAGGTGAAGGAACAATGGAGGCAGGGTCCGGGGTTCGCGAGCCGAAGGGTCGCTGTCGTGACAATGTATCCATCCGAGATAGAGCTGACGTTTGTTGGTCCTGCAGGTCTTGCGTTAACCCTTGCTCGTAGAGCCGGCGGGTTCGAGTAACGCTTCGCTCAAGGCCCGCCAAGTGGCTAGTAGATGAGCTTTCCTTAATTGATGATGGTTGGGAGGCGATTGAAGTTGCAGCTGTAGAGTTTCGAGCTCCCGAAGGAACAGACGAAGTCGTAGAGCTCGTTTCCCGGCGTCGACTGTAATTCAGCGTAGCTTCCGCGTCAAATGTGTCGTTTTTCTGGCTTTCTTCTAATGACTTGCGCTCCTTTTCTGCTTGTCGCCATTTCTGAAATGATGATTGTGCTACGTCGTCGTCGTAGAGTGCTCTACCAGTCATGCCAGCTTTAGAGCCCGCGGAAAGCTTGTAGATCTTTTGTCTGCCACCAAAAAGATTGTTCCCTTCCGTAGGTTTACTGCGGCCCATTATGCTACCTGTTGTTGAGGATGCATCATCGGACTGATACGAGTCAAAACGGCCCAATGGGGGCGCCTTTAGCGACTCTATTTCCGCAATATCATCGAGCCCGCCTGTGAAGACACCAAAGTCTGCTAGCCTTGATTGTCGCTTTGAGAAGAGAACACTGTCGTCGCTGGCCTTACCAAGCTTGCTATTCGGGTCGTCTTGTTCTCGAAGCATGGAGAAGCGAGCTGATAAACCTGTCATTAGGAGACTAGTCCGAAAGTCGTTATGAGATGGCAAAGCTGTGGAAAGATCGATCTCTGGTTTAGGTTCCTCGTCTTGCATTTTCTTCTTGCTAAACATGCGAAAGGGACCAGACGGCTCAGCATCTATTGACGGGCGGCCAACAATGGAATTGTCGTCCCTGCCCTTCTTCTTGGTTCGAAAGCGGTTCATTGTGGCGATGTGTTTGATGACTGCCTAATCGAATGAGAACGGGAAAATGCACCTTGAGACAAGGTATCGGGATTTCGACCACCAATGGGATATTTCTCGGTGCTTCAATTCATGAGAATGATAGCAATTGGGCAATCGGCAGGCTTGAATTCTCAGGGAAAGAGAGACGTAACCCTGTTGTAGTTGTTAGTTGATAAAATGTTCCTATACGCATGCATTTTTCAGAACTAGCAGTGTGTAACTAGAGACACAGTGTTGCATAAAATGTCGTCTGCGCTCAGGTGCAGACTGGCGAACGCAAGCCTTTGAGGCCGGCTGCTCTTATCAACATGCCACAGGGTGCTAGCTCTGAGCGTCGGCAAAAAGTCCAACATACCTAGAACAAAGGCTCGGGTTGTGAACTGAAACTCTGAACAAAGCAAGATGCGACGACGCTAGAGCGTGCTGCATCAATGCAACGAGAAGATGTTGCAGCCACGTCGG